AGCTGGAAATTGAGAGTCTTTGCCTAACTTGGTCTCTGCTAATGAAGTGAACAAAAAGATAGAGGAACACAAACAATTGCAGTAGAAAATGCAAGAGAAAACAAGATATACAGCCAAAGTTGTGAGTGGGCCAGAAAGAGACCAGCTGAAGCCTGGATGCCCTGGGTAAGGAAAACCACACAGACTTTTTAATTGTACCCATTTGTATCCCCTTAGTAGAAGGTTCTAGGCCAGTACAGTGAGAGTTATCTAAAGCCCATGAATTAGACTCAAGGTAAAGCAGACTCAGAAGCTACCAATTCCTGGTTGAGCCATGACCAGCACAAATCAGCAATTTGTTATCTTATAGAAGCAAAGCATTATGGCCTTCATGGATGGATGGATGGGTGCAGGGTGATAAATGAGGCATCTCAAATACTAGTGGGCTAGTTGGGTTGCCTGTTTTCAGAGGAAGCCAGCTGGAGGCACTCTTCATTTTCCTTCTTAATATCAGAGATGGAAGCAAACCCAGGTCCATATTTGGCAACTTCTATGATGGGAGGCAGTTCCTTCTCATGGAAGAAAGAAAAGTTTTGGCTGCAGACAAACCTTACATATAGAAATGATTATTTTCATTAGTAATTTGGAAACTGGTTAACTGAAACCATGCACCCAGTACTAGCATGTGGTGCTCTTAAAGGCAACATTGAAAGACCAATCCTGATACTCCTTTCTGTGGCATCATTCCCATGGAAAAGAAGTAGCATAAGTCAAATATGGGGTCAACACAGTTCTCATTAATATGGATTCTATTATTCTGCTCTGGCATCATACGGTTGTTATGTCATTCATACAGGCCTGGAAAAGTTTCAACTGGATCTCAAAATACATTTTCCTGTCTTTCTCTGAATCACAGTGGAGCCTGTGGGTCTCATTCAGATATCTGAATATTCATAGGAAGGGAGTCTCCTACCTATTCAATTCCAGTTTTACCTGGGAAAATATTTGGGAATAGAGACAAAAAGGACCCATTAATATCTACTCATACTGCTTGGAAAAAAAATCAAGAAACTAATTTGAAAAGTTACATGAACATTAGCTGAAGGAACAGCCAGTCTCTAAGTAGATGCTTTGTTTCACAAAGTGAACTAATCTCTAATCCTAACCTCCTTAGCTAGCTTGATCTTGCATTTTCCCCCTTTCCTACTTTAACTTCTTTCTTTTCCTCTTTCCTCAATACTGCAAACCAGTTTAGCTGATCCATAATTCCTGCTAAGGTCATTACCCTATTTAGGAAGTGGGAAAAGAAGTCAGTGGAGATAATCAGAATACCTTTACTGATGCCATGGTATCTCTGGATTGGGCTAGCTGATGGTGTGAGCGAGCTCTGTAGATTTCTAAAGAACTTAGGCAGTGGGAAAGAATGGTATGCTTGTTGTATCATGTACCATGTTGGTACTTACTATGCTGTACCAATTTCCATTTCTGAAAAATATGTGTGTGGCATTTAGTTTAGTTTACAGAATGCAGGAAATTTTATGTGGTGGAACACTAAGCACATGCTGGCATTCAAGCCGTGTTGTGCAGAACTGGGCATGCACCATGCTAGTCCTGACTCTCATTTATAAGATATCAATATGGACCCATGAATTCACTTTTTAAATGTATTTGGTACAGCCCAAGAAAAGTTAATATGGTTAAGCTGCTTCACCACCAGTAGTTTCACTGCACTTGCAGCAATGTCTGCTTGAACAGTGGGGCTTTTGTACTTTTAAAAATGACAAGTAAATTTTTTATTCCTGGATTGGAACAAGCCTTCAAGCATTGATCTGCCTCATTCAAAGTTTCTACTTGTTGTGGTTTATTTTTAGAAAAGTAAAATCTCTGTTGCACAAGTAGACACTCCTGTGAGCATATGAGGGCAATAAATAGGATACTACACTATCTTAGCCCGCTTATGCAGAAATAAGCTTAACTGAATTTGGCAAGACTAGTCTTGTTAATAAAAATAGACAGGATTGGCCTACTTGCCCAATATTACACTTACTTTCAGTGTAATACTTTGTCTTTTCCTATGCTATATGCTCAAAAGTAAGTCTTATGTGTTCACGGGGACTTATTAAAGTAACCACGCACAGGATAGCATTCTTAGTTTCAACTAACCTTTGTAGGATTCTTGCCCATTATGTGGAAACATTTCTTTGATATAATGCATGTAGGATCCCTGTTCAAGGCCACTACAGCTTTAGTTCTACTAAGGCTGACCTATAAATTCTTGTACAAAGCTCGTGATCCAGAGCTAAGTAGTGGCCTAACAAAGCTGACATGTTGTTTAATCCTTTTGCATTCTTTTAAAAGACCACACAGTGGCAAGTGCTATGATACATTCAGTATTTGTAATGAAAAAAGAGAAGTCCGAGTGGTTTGTTGGTAGCTGCAACAGAGTTGTTTAGCTTCCAGTGTTCTGAAGATAAAACTCTTTCCCACTGGGAACATGCTTGGAAAATGTACTTGCATTCAATAAAAAATAGCGATAGAAATATTTGTCGTAGTAATTATTGCAACGTCCGTTTCAATGCTGAATGGAAGCCAAGGAACAGATTCCTATGTAAGAACTGAAACTGAGCAGAAAAGAACAGCAGGGCTCCAAAGGAACAGCAGCAGATTAGCTAAATTCCCCCATGGAAAGTTTCCTTCATTGAAACTTGATCGTGCCAACAATGAATATACATTTGCTGGGATTTCCAGCTCTTTCCCTATGCATAGCTCAAAACCTGATGGTGGAAACTGGGCAGTGTTTAGCTTCTCCTAATACATATTACAACTGAGACTGGCATGTCATAGCTCTTGCTGTCTAGTACCTAATGCTCTAGGCATCAAAAGGCTAAAGTATCTGCTACTGATGTCCCTTCTGAGCAGGTATCTGGCCTTCATGAACTAGGGTACAGACTATTTTGAGGGGCTCAGGAAAATTAAATCATAATTTATAAGAAGGTAAAGAACTAAACCAGCCACTGTGTTTGTGTGTACGTGTGTTGTATTTCCAGACCACACAGTGAAGTATGGTTTGATCAGGGATGGAATCAAGGATAACCAAGGTTGGGGAACCTACTTGAGGGCTCATGCTCCACCAGAAGCCCCCTTGGAGTTGTTCTTCCTCTTCACAATTGCAGCCTGCCTGCTCAGCTGTAACTTATTCTGGCACAGACGTCAGTGGTGGGGAGATGGAAGACCAGCAGATGCCACTGCCTGGTTGCTCAGCAGCTTTCTGCCTGTCCGACAAGCAGCAGCAATGCTGAGAAAGTGTGCAAGGAGCAATACGCTTTGGTGACAATGGCCTCACTGACTTGGTTGGCAGGACATGCTAAGCCACCAGGGGATGGCTTAACATTGTGTCTGAACCTCCTTGCTTCCCAAGTAGTGGTTGTAAGATAACCCAGGGACTGAGCCAAAATAAATTATAACTAATACACAAGCAATCACTAGGGATAGAAATGGCTTCCAACATGTCAGGACACCAAACATCTCTCATTCTATGTGCATGGAAATTGACCCAATTAAGGGTTCATTGGTTCAAATAAACGTAACCCAATCTAAAGCTACTTTTTTGATAAAAGGCTTCTCAAAAGAGAAAGACAGATTTGTGAGTGCTGAGAGTTCTTAGCAACCCTTAGGTCCTCTACAGAATTATAGTACCTGGGGGTCATTGGTTGGGAACCCTGATGGTTAAGCAGGTTTGAGACCTATTTACATGCCTAATACAGAGCATGACCATAGCTGATGGTGGGTCTTTATGCTGCACTTAATGAAGAAGGATTTTGTAATACAGAAATGTACAACTCCCAGAAGGATACCTATGTTAGCTATTACAGGACAAACAAGAAATGCTCCTATAGCACCTTAAAGTCATAACAGAAGTAGATATATTCCTATGCATGTTTAGGTATACTCCTATACCTCCCACAACTACCCACATTATCTTTCATGGCGTATAGCCCCGTTCATCAGATGAACAGAATAATAAATCTGATATTCTCTGAAGTGCCCCAAACCCATTTTTGTTGTTAAAAGCTGTTAGAAGTTTCAGGGCCATGTATCAAATATTAAATAAATATAAATATATAACCCTAAACAACCAAATGGGGAAATCTGCAGCGCTGTGGAAATTGGTCCCCTCAATTTCTTTAGGAAATGGTTCTTTATTGTAACAATTTGCAGTACGTGTTCAGAAAAACAAACATTCACAAGGAAAAAATGTGGAACAATGCTAACAGGTGATGTTCACAGTAACTCCAAGATGGTTCCCTGTCATCACCAAGGAAACCAGAGTTTGATTTCTAAAGGGATTTCCTTGGAGCCTGTCAGCCGGCAGAGTGGGTGGAATGCTGAATGTTAACGCTCTGACATATCTTGGGGCCAGCAAGTCATGAGATGGGTTGGCTTTGAGTTAATCTCAGCCACCTGCCACCATGAAAATGGCTTGATGTTCATAGACACAGCAAAGGATTTGATCAATCTCTGGGTGCAGTCACAGTCAGCTTTCTAACTTTTGTTTACGCCATGGTGCAATTTTGATGCCAACAGAAATATCTGCCTCCTCTGTTTCTAGAGGGACACAGGATGCATCAATCTGTGATGATGCTGATTGTGTGGTCAGAGCCAGACAGCTACCATGGGTGTCACTAGGTAAGTGGGAAAGGGTATTGTAATATTACATGATGCACCAGAAAGTACACATCAGCAGCTCTTCAAACCCTGAGGGAGAATAAAATAACCCGATAAATGATGGAAATGCAAGACTTAAATAAAAGGTGTCCCCATCAGACCCATGGATTTTTACAATTTCTATGGCTGGTATAGAAAGCCCTACAGAGATCATGCAGGGATATGCAACCCAGAGACTGAACCAACAGAGAATCCCCTCCTTGTCAAATGGCCTAAATTAATTAGCTAAGCATCAGTGCCCTGGGTTTCAAGCATCTTAGAGAAAACAGCTGCCCCCACAGCAGGGTTTCCTCTTGGCAGCACGCTGCCTAGTCAGATGCAGTCTTTACTGTGCGTTCCAAGTGTTCAGTGTATTTGCTACTTGGGTGGGGTAGGGGAATATTACTTGGTGCTCAGATTGCTCTGACCATGAATCAGTCAAGGTGTGTCCCAATGCCTGAGCTTCAAGAACTCTGCTGAAGGCTGGTTTTGCACTTGGTCATCCTAGATCAGAGCACACTGTTTGCAAATCATTTTACTGTATGAAGCATCTGGCTCAGATATGCTTGTCTTCGTCTCACTTCTTGATCCAGTTTCTCTTTCAGGGCATTCACCTGCAGAAACGTAACACAGACATGCATAAACAAGGTTAGATTATGTAGCCCAACATTTTGTCTCTAACAGTGTCTTCACATCCTTCAGAGGAAGCACTCCTATCATCCAAACCTGGCAGGGATGGCTAGTTGGAGAGGTTTATGGCCACACCACAACCTTACCACAGACCATGGGTTTTCAGAAGTTTGTTAATCACGTCAACAAATCACCTTGCCAGGCTTAGGAAACACAAGCCTGATGAGGGTAGTTATGTAAACCGGGCCAGCACACAACCAGTGCATACACATTGGCTAATGGGTGGTGCCTGACTGGTACCTAAAAGATCCAGAGCTCAGGCCCATAGGAGAAAAAAAAACAAAAAAACAAAATTAACCAACCAAACTAACAAAACTAGTAATGCCCTCCCCCATATCCCCAATCAAGGTGCACTGAAGTACTCAAAGTAATAGTCAAGTTGTCCCAAGGCAGGAAATCTTACAAGTAACTTCTCCCCTTCAATTAAATAATGAACAGCCTGTCGCATTTTCAGCTACGTGAGGCAGCGGCCTCAGGTTCTGAAGTGCGTATGTGTGTGCCTTTAAAGGACCCCGGCTTCTGAGGACACTCCTATTTGTAACTAGGGATTTATGGACATAGGTGAGGAGCACATTCAATTTCAGGGGAATCCTCCCCCACAAACCCTCACAAGAGGTTCTAGAAAAACAGAAGAGGGAATATATGTGGACAAAAGCCAGCTATTCCACAGATCAGTTGCAACAAAGTTCATCAGGACCCTGGACCTTTATGTCAGTGAGGGGCATTTTTCTCTAATTACATGAAGAGCAGCATCTTTCAAAATGACTTTCTGCACAATGGACTTCTATCTATAAAAGCTCATACTGCAGTAAATTTGTGAGGCTCTTAGGGGCCACAGGTCACAGTGACTTCTGAATGCAAAGAACTAGAAGCCCTTATCCTGCTCCCTAATCGATTCAACTTTCTGTGGCCTAGCACAAAACCCCAATGCCAAGTATGACCACATACCCACTGGAATCTCTGCAACCATCTTTCCATGGTGCATGTGCAAAAAGCAGATCCAAAGCAGAAACATGATTACAGAGCCAATGAATCCCAAACAATCAAACAAGTCAGCAAGCCAGAGCAAGACATACACTCACAGATTATCTTGCCCCAAATTAAATTATTGCTACACATTCAAACAGTTTTCACAAGCAGACCCATTTCTATTTTCTTCCAAGGTAAGGGGCCTGGGCCAGCTTAGAGGAAGCAACAAGATGAGAACAGATGATACTTCATTTAATATCCCCAGTTCCTCACAAGTGCCAATAGCAACTAACAAGACAGCTGGATAAGATGCAATAATTGCAATAACGGAGGATCCCATTCATTCTGCCTCAACCCTGCAGAAGGTTTTTTTTAAGTGTCTGAAAAAAATGTGTATTTTTTAAATAGGAAAATATATACAGATTTCATGGCTGGAAAGTAGCCGAAAGGGAAATAGGTAACAAATTTCTGTTGCATTAACTTCAAAAATCAAAGTTTTTAGGATAGTCCATGAAGTACCATTACCTTCAGTACTATCTACTAATGAAGTGCTCCCTAATCTCTAATAACTTCTTCCCCAGAGGAGCAACTACCGGACATAACCAAGACACATTTAAAAGAAGCATCGCCTGTATTCATACTTTTCCATCTTTCTGAGCACCTAAAGTCCTTGTAAAGTATGGAAAAGGGTGGAGGCACTGAGAAGAGTCAGATGTAACCAACGAAACTGTAGGATCTCACTGTGAAGTGGGTAATCTACTAGCTACCTGCTTTTGTGAGGAAAGATCATGTGTGGCGTGGTTTTCCACTGACAACTCACCTTTGACAACTGTTGAAAGAGTGTGAACTAAAAACATGGGCTCATTTGCTGTGTCTCTGGACCAATATCCATGGCTGATGCCTGCTGCACTTTGACAATGGAAAGCTTCCAGGGCATTGCCTAGACAAGTCTTCCCACCACAAGACTGTACCTCCACACTTTTGCAAATGTTGACTATCTTTTTAAATGGCAAACCACTGAAATCCTTGCCAATGGCACATTGGATGGGTTCTCACTAGCTATCAGAAATCGCAAAATGTCATCTCAACAAGTATGTGTGTAAATGGGTGAAAAGCTGGGTCAAAAGGTGAGTAAAACATGAGTTGTGATCACAGGAAGAAGCTGAAACAAGCTCTCCTGGGATACCCACTGGAGGACTGAGGGGGAAGGACTTGGGTGAACACTCCATGATGAGGCTGATAATTGGCTGGGTGCACCATAGGTTGTTTTGCAAATAGCCAGCCCATGTGCGAAGCTCTGGTGGCAGTTATGCGCTGTTTGTAACACTTGATCAACCCCAGCTCCCTACCACTTGTACCTATACGATAAAAGCAAAGGTTCACATACATTTGTTGTGAGTTGTTAGGCCTTCATAGGTTAGCTTATGCACTGTGACTTTTTGCTCCCTACAGTAGACATTGCTTCACTTGGAGGACTTCAGTGCATTCTGCAAGAAGATATATTTTGCTTTTTTTCCTTCATACAAAGCTAGTGGCTTCCTAAATTGAAACCCTTGGAACCAGGCTACCATTCATCTAGAGAATCAGATAGGCAGCATAGCTCTTGGCCGGCGTCTACATTAAACCATCTGGAGAGTTGGAGAGCATTCAGAAAGAGAAGGAATCTGGAAGCAGCAGCATATTCTTCTTCCTTGATACCGTCACAATTTTGCCTTCGAACCTGCCAGTTCTCCCAATAATTTCCCCATTCTTTCCATCTTTAACCCACTTTTTGCCCTAATACTCCAGAGTTCACGACAAATGTGCATAATCCTCTCAATGTACACAAAATTATTCTGTTCCTAAAGAGTGAACAAAGGGTGGCACTTATTCCTCCTTCTCCCCCAATGTGTTGCTATTGTCTTAATCAAAGTGGAACAAGTAGGCTGCAGTGGTGAAGCGAAGGGGCAGTTCCAGGATGCTCTTGTCCAAAAAGCTTGTGGGTTGTGAGCCCTTAGCAGGGGAAAGCCATGGTGGACTTGGATGAAAATAAATATGCCCTGGTCTCACCTGCTCCTCCAAGCCTTTCATCCTCTGCCGATGCATTCTCTCCCGGGAGTCCAGCCTTCGTTCAGCCTGGAGCTGAGCACTGTGCAGCCTCTCTGCTTCCAGCTCCAAGTCTAACTGATGCTGGGATGTGAGCTCCATCAGTCGCTGGGCATGTGTGTGTTCCAGCTCTACAATCTGGGCCTAGAATGAAAGTACAGAATGCTGCCTAGCTCTGCAACTTTGTTGGCTTTTGGAAAACCTTCTGCAGCACTAAGTTCAGTTTTATCTTATTACACTACTGGGTAGAAAGTTGCTGCCCACGAAGACCAGCACATTAGGTCTTCTCTTAACTCAGTCCCATACACAGGGGGACACTGGTAGTTTGTTTTTCACTTTTGTACCCTTTGAGCTCACAGAGGGGGTGATGACTATCAGTAGCTGAAACTTGTGCACTGCCAGCCTGTAAATCTGGTGCATTTGGAGCTCAGATAGAGACCACTGCATGGAAGAAGACATAATCAGAACTTGTTTAGGTAGCCATCCCTCTCAATCCACTTATTCCCATAATGTGTGTACACCTCTCTTAAATATTTATTATTATTTTAGTTATTAAATACATTTTTATCCTACGCAATAGCCCAAAGGCTCCTGAAGCATGTTATCGAGCTCCCGAAGCACTCAAGCCACAATCTCCCTGTTTCTTATGTTTTTCATCTCAGTTTGTCTTGTAAGCAGTTTTATACTCAAACTGAGTAATGACTTTTTCCCCTTATGCAATGGGACTGAACAGGATGCACGGCTGGCTTCAGAAACACTGGTGATGCCAAAGATGAGTTTTTACTGCTTTCTTCTCTAGCTGTTGTGCTTGAGTCAACTAAGCTAAGCTATGAAAGGTAAATTCTGACCAATCATTATACAAGATAGAGATGGCAAGTGGGAGGAAGTAGTTTAACTGTTAGATTGAAAAAGGAGGTGGGTTTTCTTTTTGCAAGGTTAGAACTAACATTGTAAAGCACAAGTGTTTGGATAATAATGCAGGAGGTGCACTATCCCTGGAGATATATGAAGCACCACCTTGAACAAAGTTAATTAGAGAAGTAATTCCTTGTAGGCCTCCCATTCAAGTTTGTTGAGTCCAACTGACCTGCAGGCGTTCATTTTGCCTCAGCGTTTCCTCCATTTCCTGCTGCAGGCTGCTCAGGGACTGATCCAGTTGCCCCCTCATCTGACTAAGTCTAAAGGTGTCATCTTCCTTCCTGAATTTCTCCTGCTCTGCCTGAAAAGAAGACACCAGAATCCCTGATTCAATACCTGACAGAACCCAGATGCTGCTCTCACATGGTATCCTCACCACATTTAGCAAAATCCTGCCAGCTCTTCCAGTTTTAAGATGCAATGGTTGGTGAGATTTTGGTGGTGCTGGGATTTTGCAAGGCCTCTGGGAGAAGGCCAAACATGTTATGTTCTTGGAAGGGATCCAAAAAGATGTTCTCCCACAAGGTACCACTAAACTTTCTCAGTATTCATCATAGGCAGAAGTTCTGGTTTGGAACCAGCAAGCAGAGCTCAAGGGCAGATGCACAATCACTATCCCTTAAAAGAAAAGACAAAAGAAAAAGAAATAGTCTGCAATATACAACATATGATTTAACCTCATGTGCTTAAAGATCACCATTTGCTCTGCCTTCTAATCCCTCTGACACTGAAAATATGGGGGTTAAAGTGGAGACTAGAGGATGCTGAGCAAACATATCCAGATAAAGCTAATTATTCAGGGAAGAATTGTCTTCCCAGGAAAATGCCAAAGAAGCAGCCAAAAATGAGAAAGAATGAGGATGAGGGGGAATTAAATGAAGATCAAATATGGGGATAAGTACTCTTATGAATCAGTAATGGGTTCATGAACAGACAGGAGACAAGAGGAAAACATGTTCAGTTCTGACAATGGAGAGATGCGGCCCAAGGATCTGCAGGGGGGCCAGTGCTTTTTAATTTGTTCATAAATTATCAGGACATCAGCCACATTTGCTGACAATGCCTTATTACTCTCACAAAAACAGACTGTTGTTCCATGCTAGGCTACCCTAAAGGATCTCTGTGAACTGGAAGAATGTGCATTAAAATACAAAATAAGCCTTGATGAAAGCAAGTGGGAAGTCATGAACATAAGGGCTGAAAATTCTCATTTCGTGTATTTGTAGGTGGGGACTGAGCTGGTGGTGACAGGCTGAGAACAAGATTTGGGGGTTGTTAGAGATAGCTGAATAAGAATGCAAACCCAGTGTGTGGCTGCTGTGAAACATGGCAAATTCAACACTGGAGATCATTAGAAAAGGAAAAGGAATAAAAAGTAAAACTGTAATACAAATCTATGGTGTGACCATAGCTGGAACACTGTGTACAGCTTTGGGTAAGGCACCACACCCTTAAAAAAGATATTGAACAGCTGGAGAATGTGCAGAAAAAGACAACCAAAATGATCAGGGAAGGTTTCAGCACTGGGGGCTTGAGTTTGGTTTTAGTTTAGGAAAAAGCCCAGAGAAGAACATGAGTAAGGGCCAGGGGGGCATGATACAATTGTGTGTGGTGTTGAGAAAAGGTAGAAGGAGCTTTTTTCTCTTATAATACTAAATCCTCAGTCATCCAATTGATCAATAAATGGCAGATGATAGAGGACAAATAAAAGGAAGTATCTCTTCACACAGTGCATAATTAAACTAAGGTAGTCGTTGCCACAAGATGTTTTGTGGGCCATTAATTTGGACTGCTTTAAAAGCAGATTAGACACATCCATGGGGAATAGGACTATCAAAGGCTATTCATCCTGATGGCTAGATAGTACCTCCAGTACCACAGACAATAATGCCTCTGGACAAGAATGCTGGACAAGACAATGCCCTTATACTTGATTTAATTGCTACAGTGCGGCTTGACTTGCTTGAAAATCAGATTTCACAATCTTGCCAATCTTGTGCTCTGAATTCTGAATAGGCATTTTTTTACCATTTCTGGAAATGAGCTCTGACAGGAAAATTCTAAATGTGCTCACTCTGGGTTGCCCATAAATGCAGGAGTTCACCGTTCTTTTGAATTTAAATTATAGCATCACATTGGAGGAACATGCTCTTACTTTGGGCATTATCCAGAAGTTCATTTTCTACCTTACAACAGAAATGGGAGGGGGGATACCATATGTCATTCACACATTGTATTTGTTTCTTGATAATGTTTAGATTGTCTGTAAGGTTATCCCCCAATAGATCCCCTTCTCTGAATTCTTTTGAGTCAAAGGAAATCCTGCCCATGCCACCCTTCTTCATCAGTTCTCCAGCTACCTGGAACACAACTGAGATCCAGATTGACGAGGAAGAAACCATGTCGCTGCAAGGGACAAGGATCCCCAGCTGCAAGGGGGAATAGAGGGGTAGAACTGAGTTGGATGATGGCATTCATAGAATCATAGACTCGTAGAGCTGAAAAAGGCCATGAATGCCATCATGTTCCACCCCCTGCTGTCGCAGGACACCAAGTCACACCATCCCACCCAGCTGGCCATCCAGCCTCTTTTTGAATGTCCCTAGTGTGGGAGAGACCACCACCTCTCTAGGCAGCTGGTTCCACTGTCGTATTGCTCTGACGGTGAGGAAGCTTTTCCTGATGTCCAGCCTGAATCTGGGTGATCGCAACTTGAATTGATTATTCCATGTCCTACATTCTGGCATCAGCAAGAAGAGATCTTGACCTTCCTCCTTGTGACAGTCTCTGAGGGACTTATAGAGTGATAACATGTCCCCTCTCAGTCTTCTCTTCTCAAGACCGAACATGCCCAGTTCTCTCAGTCTCTCCTCATAGGGCACTGTTTCCAAATCCTGGATCATTTTTGTTGCTCTCCTCTGTACCCTTTCTAATTTTTCTGTGTCTTTCTTAAATCTTGGTGCCCAGAACTGGACATAGTATTCCATATGAGGTTTGACTAGTGAGGAGTATAAAGGAACTACTACTTCTTGTGATTTGGAAGTAATTGACTGTTCTGTCTGAAGAAAGAATATTTCCAAATAATGTTTGGGGTGAGGAGATATGCTGTCCCTTTAAAACACCGTGCACACTTATTAGAAGAAAATATTAAAGGGAAGAGAGAAGGAGAGAGGCAAAATCCAGAATAAATAAACGGCCACATCCGGATTTCCCCTCTTGAGACATCAATAAAGGGTTTTATGAGCTTGATATGAATTACCCTCCCTGGCCATTTACAGCTGATCTTCTGGAACTCATTAACTAGCTTCTCCCCTTCCTCCAGCTCAGGGAAAGGGGTTGTGTATTGGGGGAATTCAGGGGCACTATACACAAGGCTGTTTTATGTTTGCAGAGATAAATATTTCTAATGTTCTTTTGCCATAACAGAAAAGTATCTCATTCTTCACCCTCTTCGTTTCTGCAGCAAGAACAATCCATTAAGATGAAAAATAAATAATTTCTAGCAAATGTCAAACTGGACCCAAACTACCACTTCTGGAGGGACTAGGCAAGAGGCTTCCTTAGCCTTTCCTTGTGAAGCTCACATCTGCTCGAGATGACACATCCCCATCAGTTGAGGCATTATTGTACAGTTTTAACATGGATCATAAATAATATAGATTATTTCCAGGGGCTAGAGAGATAGGAAGAAGTATATTTGCAACAATCAGCAAAGTGCTACACTCTCTCATACTTGCTAGATCAAAATCTTTTAAATAAAAAGGAATACTTTGGGTATGCAATGTTTGCCAGGAGGGAAGTCCATCTTTTCTTTTCATCCCACTGTGAAGTATAGCAAGAAAGGATAGCAACAGGCTGTGTTCGTACATCACAGTAAGCCTGAGTTTGCAAGAATTCTGGCTTCTTGGGAATGAGCCAGCATGTTAGTGTATGCTGCCCAATTACATTTAATGCAAACAGGAGTGGCTAAATAAATCCCAGACCTTCTGTCCAGGGTTTGTTTATCAGGACATATAAATTGGGAACTTGAGCTTGTCTCTCTCCAGACCAAGAACAAGGTATGGCTTATGGCTTGCAAATGAACAAGCCACTATGAGAACCCATGGACTTTTTAAAGGGTTGTTTTACCCATGGTATGTTATAATGCCATCTAAATGTAGAAGACTGATCCCATCGTGGATAATGTCCAGTGGCCAGTGAGGCACTTGGTAAGAAAAGCAAAAAACTTCTGGATGTTCTTCCTGAGCTCACCCTGGCCATCACGAGGGACAGCTGCCCCCAAGTGCTTAAGCAACACTTGAGAGTTGCTGGAACTGGCTTGCTGCTCTCCCCAACATGACCGAGAGCCACTTTTGGCTCACCACAGCTTTTGTGCATTTTAAGCCTGGTTTTTCCCTGGAGATTGTGATAGGCACGATCCCTTTCCTGGTGTCCCCAGTGCAAACAACCTTCTTCTGTGTCAGATGCAGCAGCACAAAGGCTGTGGCATGTGGCACGGAAGAGGGCTGCTGCCTGCGTGATGTGTGGGGCTTGATTCTTGGTGAACAGCATGTGAATTCTGGGCACACTTGCCAGGAACTTGGACTCATGGCTGTAATAAAGTGGCTTGGACTCTGCAGAGCTGAACCCAGGGAATCTGATGGATTCCCACCCTCAAAAGAGATTCCTCATGCAATCTCTAATCCCAGTTATGGCAGCCTGAAAATGCCCGAGTATCTTGGAGGAGCTATCCATGGCTGGTGAACATTTATTTTTTTAATTTACACTCATACTAATTTTCTCAAGTGTTTCAGAAAATTATCAACCCCCCTTTCTTGCCACACTTGCATGACTGTGCTTGAGTATGCCAACTTTTACTGAAGTAAACTGAATGAATATTTGATAGATGCACTCTGAATGGATTAAAATCCATGAGCAGAAACTTGTATTTGAAATTTTGGGAAGCAACTTTGGGAAGCAAAATGCATGTTATATATTTTGGTGTTTCAGCAGAGAAGCCACATCTCTATTCTCCTTCAATGTACAGTGGTACTACACTAACAAGTAAGAAATAACTTGCTACCCTTTAATGGTGTCCTAAATTAAGACTACCTGGCTGCTCCCCCTATATCATGGCAGGGCTGTTTTTGCCACTGTGGGACAATATAAATGAGTGAATGCACTTTATATGTGTGTGTTTTGTTATTTAAACTTCAGCTGAGGGATGTTTTGGGGCAGGGGGGGGCGTTGATAAATCTTTCCTTTTGTGATTTAGATTCTGATGAAAAAGACCTCCAAACTATTATTTGTCCCAAGAGGTAAATACTAGCTTCAGGGAAGGTCATTTTTGATAAGCCCTGCCCCCATCTGTGCCCTAACCATGGTTTGTTAACCACAAATAACCCTGAAAGAGAATCCAAGGTTTATTTCTAGGTTATGAATTCTGAAATTTTATACCTTGGTTGTTAAGTGTGAACCCAGAACCATGGGTTGTTCTGCCAGGGTGCAGAGGTGGCAAGCAAGTGTGATAAAAACAAACAAACCAACCAACCAACCCTAGCCACTTTGCGTTCCAATACTGCAGTCATTGGGAAATAGGAAGACAATGTGAAAGGAGAAGGGAAACAACCCAGGTATTGAGGAAAAAACTATGATGTGTTCAATTCTTCCAGATAAACCCTGGGAAGAGTAACACATGATGGGTTAATCATCGGCAAAAAACCCATGGGATAGCATTACCAGTCACAGTCTTAATTGAGCCCAATTTCAGGGGTAAATTATCTACTGCACATACAGGCTAATCAGAGGCAGGAGTTAAAAGCTCTCTTTTTATTATCAGCAAAATATTTTGTGTTGGCTGGTATAATATCATGTGCTTACTTTAACAAAGAAAGGCATATCATTCACTATGTTGGGTCTTACTGGCATGTAATGAAAAAAGTGAACTTAGAGTACAATAGAACAAAATTTAAATAGAGAAGTTTGGCAAAAACTCAAAATAGTTCCCAAGAAAATTGGGTGTAAACAAATGCTATTCCTGTATTCTTCAGAACTATATATAATCAATATTGTGTATATCCATACAGAGAACTTCTGAATACAGAGGGATGTCAGATTCCCAATCTTTTATCTGGTGTCCAAAACCTGCTCCTAACAGAGCAAACTCTAGAATGATTTAAGGCTAGAATGGGAAGCCTGTGATCTTCCAAATGTTGGACTGCAACTTCCATCATCCCTCACTATGGACTTTGTTGACTAGAATGATTAGAGATGAAATCTGCAAATATCTGGAGGCCCACATGTTTCCCACTGGTACCCTAGCCAGCTTTAATGGCAAACCATGCAACTTTATGGATAGCTACTCAGCAGTGATTCCAATTTAATTCAATAGGACGTACTCAAATAAGTGCATACTGGACTGTATCCATACTGCTTTGATTCAGACAAATGGACCTCCAAAGTTTTACTTGCTGAGGAAGCAGTAGAAGTCCAAGATCTAAACAATCAGGTCCCCAAATTTCTTGCTCTTTCAATTTCCCTTGGAATCAACTTTTGGAGGCAGCTGTCTGCATTGAACTGGTTGGAAATGGAGGCAATAAAATGTATAAAATGCTACAGAGTGTGGAAATTTGTTGGCACTAGAGAAGGAGAAAGGGACAAGCACTAACTAAAGATATGGAAACTTCTACATATCACTTTTTGGAACGGTGTCTGCAAAGGTCAGCTTGAAGAGGCTTGCATTCACTTTAGAGGAAGCATCTGCCACATGGTTTGGATTTTGCTTTCCCATCACAAACGCTAATTAGGCTCATCCAAGAGTGCCCCTGCTGATACCAAACACATGTGTGACAAATTAATTTTGTGAACTTGAACCAGTGCCTTAGAGCTTTTCTGATCGGAAGAGGAGAGCAGGTAGCCCAGGAATGTACATGCATCAGCGTGTGTGTATGTGTGTATTTATTTGTGAAATCTGAGATTTGCCTTTAAGGATGAATCCCAAGAAATGCATTATTTGGATGGCATTCAAAGAATCTGAGAGTAGTAATCCTGTGTGCATTGGGAAGTCATTGGATAGGGGCCATGAAACAAAAGTTATGTTAACATGCACACTCCTACACTAAAGTTCTGTGCTTGAAAAGACAAAAGGTACTAAAGTAGGATTCTCTTTACATTTTGGCAGTTTTCATCAAGTTACTCATATCAGCAATGTGAAATGTCTGTAGTCTAAAAGTATATCCCATCATATAGATGTATTGTGTGCACTAGAGCATGCAGGATGCATGAAGATGCAAAGTTTTCTCAATTATAATCATGCATTTCTGTGCAGGGAATAAGCGGCAGCATCTTTACTATGTTTTGCTCTTAATCCTATGCTGAAGTGCAAAGCAAAAGTGAAACAAGGAGAAATGGGGAGAAGTGCAAAATCATTTGGACGTGAGAGTCTCTGAGTACAAGTGCAGGATAAGAGCAAATATCAATCTTGTTTATAGCCATTCATTTCAAATAGTATCCATAGACCATCAGGGTAACCCTGTATGAGTAATAATTACTAACTTTGTAAAATACTGGGCACATCTAGCAGAGGAAACAAAACTCTCATGTAAATCAGAAGGAGAAACTAAGGCAACTGTTACTTAAGATGCTCAGGAGAAACAACCCCTTAGTTCAGAGAAAGGAGCAATACACAATGATGGGAGCGGAAGTCTTCTGCTAATTCTTTTCCACTAAGAATAATCATGCCTTGCGTCTGGCAGATGAGAAGTTGCACAACTCTTGAGGAATAGTAATAAAAGAACCCTTCTCTTCAGTCTAGAAACTGTAGCCCAGTACCTGAGGACACGCATGGCAAGGAAGTGCTGTCAGACTGGGCTGGGAGAGTTCTCCTGGGAAGGAGCGAAAGGGAAGTGATGAGACTAAGGGAAGTCACGACATAGTGAGGTACTGTTTCTTACTCAGGTATGTCTGAGTACTCCTGCAGCTGCATGTTATAGCAAGGAGGCTCTTTAAGCCTCTAAGAAACACAAAATAAAATTTGAAAAATGTACAGAATTGCATATGAATGGGGGAGAGATTTTGTCATAAACATGAAAGCACGTGTAATTCTTCTACAGGCATCTCTAACAACTGGCCTACCACAATCCACAGAAGAAGAAGGTAGAGTCCCGCCCAGGCTAAAGGTTGATGCAAGATACCTAAAACTACAAAACACTTGCTTCATCTTCCTTTCCCATCATTACTCACTTCTTGGCCCATCTGCTCCTCCAGGTTTCTGCACCGCGATTCCATCTCACCCAGTTGATCTTGCAGCAAATGTACTGTATCGGTCAAGCTATGGTTCTGCCTCTTGCTATCAGATAATGCTTGCCGCATGGAGTCCAAGTGATCCTGGGAATGGAGAGAAATCCAAAGAAACAGAATGTTGCAAAGCCACTTGGTTGAATAAATATGGACTCAGTCCATATTAACCAAATACCATTTCCATGGCATACACAGCAAATCAACCTGCTCCTTCTGTACTTTGTTGTCCGCTTAAGCTAATGGAAAGAAAAGATTTGGTCTGCAACAGTACTAGTCGATTTTTGTTGAAGTTGTTTTATTTAATGTTTTAAATTATATTTTAATTTGATATTTTATCTTTATTTTTGGATTATACTGTTAATACATTTTGAATATGTTGACATAGTGTTATTGATTTTAGAATGCTGTGTGGCTTTTTTGTGCAGGGAGCCCAGATGTGAGCTATTATAGTGGCATATAAATAAATAAAATCCTTCCCTTGTACTGACACCTTTCAGAAAAGGAGGAGGAATATAAAAGCTGCCTAAGGCTGAGTCAAGCCATTGGTGCATCAAGCACCAGACTGCCTACACTGCCTGACAGCAGCTCTATAGGATTTTGGACCGGTTTCTTGCTGTCCTACCTGGTAATGATAGGGACAGAAGCTGTGACCTTCTGCAGCAAAACATGTACTGTACCACTGAGTTAAATCCTGCCTAGATGATTTACAGACCTGGCAGCTATCTGGTTTAATCATGGAGATGGCAAAGCCAGCCTGGAAAAAGGATCTGAGATTGGAATTTTCTTTGGGTTAATAGTAAGACAAGGTCACAATAGTACTCAGTGAAAACAGTTCATCCAAAACAGATTATCGACTCATGCTAGCTGACCAGAATGTTGAACATTTGCCTTACATTTAAGCAATGTTCTAGGGCTTTACTTAAGTAAATATGGGAACTAACAGCACTATTTCACTTCCTATGGTCCTAGAAATTTATTACTGAGCATTTTAAATATTTTCATATTACAGTTATATTATAAGTCTTTATTCTTTTGTGAAGTATTCAGAGAGCTTTGGGCATTGTGTGGTATAGAAACGTAGTAAATAAAGTAATTCTAATGTTTTTAACCTCTGCCTTTGTCCACAGCTATTCTCAACTTCAATAGGGCTTTCAAACCAGTGAAAACACAGCTCTTTCAATTAGTTTTCAATTTCTAACATTTCACGGGGTGGGGGTGCTAGGAAAAGGAAAAAATAATATGGCCTGTAGAAAACTCTGTAGATCCAAGCCAAAGAAAATATTGGCATAAAGTCTCCTGGAGAGACACCCAATGCACATTTCTATGTTATCCTAAGAAACTGCATGCATATACAGTATAAACTGATGGCTGATGCATGTGGACCTTCATTTTCGTTAACATGCAGTATTTCAGTGTTGTTGTGAGACTGGCATCCTGGGCTGTGCTTTGCTTTGTGTCATAAGGAGAGGGGGCAGATTCAACTCATGAAGCCGCTAGCTGATGGAAGAAGCAGGGAACCAACACGGAGGTAGTGCTTGTTTGCACACACTGTTTAAAGCAGGGTGCCTAAAGCTTGGCTCAGGATACAATGAAGCTGACTCAGTTCACATATGACACTGTGGCAATGCCTAGGTTGCTTAATTCAGGAATTGTGACGACAAGTAGACTGTGCATGAGGCACATGAGCCATTTCAGATTTCAGTTAACAAACCAGGAATGTACCATGCCTCTTTAGCACATGGTTAATGAACACAGAGTAAGGCCAAGAACTGAGCATGTTGGGCTAACTCTGGGCTGTTTAATTCATAAACAACCCAGAGTTTCTGCATGTACTGAAATCAGAAAGAAGCTCCTCTGTAGCACACATGTCCCTCTCATTATGACAGTTCTTGAAATGTTGCCCTTGCCCAGCCAGTCTTTCCCCGTCTGCTTCCAAGCAGATTAGGATGATAGGCTTCTAAAGTCCTTATTAAGTTAAAACTGTCCAGCTAGTTTGGTTTTGTGATACAAAAGAAGAGTATGGCAGTAGTCATTAAGAAAAGACAAAAGAAGCAATGTTAGAAGTTAGAATATTGGACATTGGGAAATGCAGCTTAAAGAAGTTGATTCCAAGCTCACTACTTCTCCTTTCCCAACCAAAAGGCATTTTCTCCATCTTTAGGATGGTTCAATGCTGCTTGTTGGGTCAATCTGCAGGGACATCTGACACTAGTTAATTGGTCTGCTTGTTTGATCTGATGCGGTATAATCAGAGTAATAATATTAACGTGGGATGCATCTGGTTCTCATTGGTTTCTTGGCTTATCTCTTGGTCTACTGGCCTTGGTAATTCAACTAAGAATTCTGAACTAGATTCAGATTGAAGTAGCAACCTTGGAAGGCCGTATTTTAGGACAAGTAGGCCCAGTCCCTACAGCCATGATGAAGCCACTGTCTTGACTCATATGGACAGGCAGTGGCTACACATTAGCAGTAGCCAAGCCTTACTACCTGGAGCAGTCGACGATCTTGCTCTGCAGCAGTCAAGGCCTTCTGTAGTTGTGAGATGTTTTCGTGCAAGGAGGAGGAGCCAGCAGTAGCATCGGATAGCGCTTGAGACAGGATCTGCACCCTGTCTTTCAGATGGTTTTCAGTGCCTTCTGTCCTGGCCAGTGAGTGGGTCAGGCGGTCAAGTTCCTGCTGCAGTTGTGCAGTTTTGCTCTCCTTATCTCCCAGCTGGCAGCGAAGAACCTGGGCCTGCTCCTGCAGTGACTGGATCTCTGTCTCTCTCTCTGTCAAGTTGAGTTGGGCCCGCTGCAGCTCTCCTTCTACAGACCTGCGACTCAGCTCCAACTTGGTGGCCCTATTTTCTGCAGCCTCCAGTACTTCCTTTAGTTTCCTCTTCTCTGTCTCTAGTTTGGCTTCTTTGGCTTTCAACTTATCGACTTTGTCCTGTAATAGAAAAAGACCTTGAAGACAACATGCAGTTTCTGTTTTTCCTCTTTCACACTCAGGGAGGAAGGAAAAAAAGAACCCACTAGATACCATTAAACCACAAAAGCATAGCTAGAAAGGATCTTGGAGATCATCTACTCCAGTGATTCCCAGGGGAACAAACCAGGTCATTTGGGGTATGCAAGAAAAAAAAAAAGTGGAAATAACAGCAACTATATTATTTACAAACATTTTGCTACAATGAAGAATACAATTTTTGGAAATAGGCTGCCAAGGGGTATGCAAGTGAAAAAAGGTTGGGAACTACTGGGGTCCAAAGCTGGGGTTCCTCCTCCAGCCCATGGAAGCAGGCAGGTTTGGAAAGGTCTTGCGAGTCACATTTCTGTGATGATTGGGGTCAAAGACAAATGGAATGGGGCCATTTAAAAAATATAAATAATACCTGAACATTGTTGCTTAAAGCTCTTACTATCAGTAACTAAGCCTTAGGAGAGACATTTTAACCTTTTAGAATGAAGAAAAATCTGTGTCAAAGCTGGGAAATGACCAAATGAACACTTAACAAGAACATGAGCAGAGAGTAAGTGCTGAGGAGACTTGGAGATTGGAGTGTGATCCTGGATCCAAAGTTCCCAGTCCTTATTCTAGTCTACCCTCTTCTTTAATGCAAGTCTTGAAATGCAGGATACAACTACACCAACCCGGGAAGATAGCCATGCACCCTCTTCTAATAAACCCCGAAGTGAAGGAGAACCCACCATTTCACAACTACATCCCAGAGTAGGAAGAATCCAGAGCTTGAAATCTTGCCACTGCTCTTGGACTTGACATCGGGCCAGTTCACATGAATACCACATCCCACCATAGCTGGTTTATGTCCTAACATGATCATTTTGATTATTCAGTCTCTGGCAAGGGGGTGCCATGATTTGCTGAATAATCCAGACCTAAGCAGCAGAAGTTGTTTAAGAGTTAACCAACCCCCAAATGATCTTGTAAAAGATTGTGATATTTGAGGATAGTTTAACTCTGAAATAATCCCTGCAGCCTGAGTTCAGATGTCACAACAAATGGTGGCAATTCCTTACTAGGAGTGAGATATTCAAAATGGACCCTGGCATGCACTGCAACCTACTTTAGCTTAAATAAGAAACAGTTGGATGTGGTGATTGTGTGAACCTGATCACTTGACACGCTTCACATAATCTAAAGAAGTCATATCCACTTATTTAAATTTAAATGGAACCTGAGCAGCATGGCCTATTGTCATACTGATGCAGTGAGAGCCAGTGTGGTGTAGTGCTTAAGAGTGTGGGACTGGGACTCAGAGGATCTGGGTTCTAGTCCCCGCTCAGCCATGGAGCCAACTGGGTGACTTTGGGCCAGTCACAGACTCTCAGCCCAACCTACCTCACAGGGTTGTTGTTGTGCGGATAAAATGGAGGAGAATGATGTAAGCTGCCTTGAGCCCTTTGTTGGAAAAAGGCAGGATATAAATTGCAATATAAAATAAATAAAATGCAGGAGGAACAGTACTCCAGTAACCCTACCACAGTCCTGGAGCATCGTTTCCTGCGCTAACAAGCCATGCTACCCAGGTTCAGGATAACACAACGAGCCATAGCAAGCAGGCACCTATGGCCATTGTTCAAAAGTGGGTGATTTGACAGCCCCTGTGGCTGGGCTGTCATGAAAACCAGGTCAATCATTGAATTTCAGAGAGAAGTCTGAGTGATAGAAGGGGAGAGGATTAAAAGGATGGTCCAGAGCTATGATGTCACTGTTGCATTTAAATGTCTCTCCCTTGTTTTCACTCCACAGCCTTCGAATCTGTACCAAATGGCTGGCAATGGCCTAAAGAGTACACATATGTAATGTGTACAAGCAGTATGATACTGGCTTTTCTTGACCCAGGAAAAGCTATACAATTTATAATACATTTGAATTTTATTGTTCTGTCAGGCTACAAATTAAACTTTGCAAAATTTTTGGGACTTTATATTAGAAGTTAAACTAAAGATAAGCAAGTGAGACCAGACTAGGTAGATGGAAATCTTCCAGAATTAAGTATCTGGAACTTTGGTAAGGAGAAGCTATAACATGAGAAACAGAATTTAACAATTAACATGTGTTAATTAATTGGTTGACCTTAATTACTGGGATAATATACATCTTTCCTTGATGGGGAGACTATCAAAACTGAAAATACTTCTAAAATTTGTTTTAATAAATATCATCTTTAAGGTTAACAGATATAGATTAAAAGAATGTCGGGACTGTGGAACAGCTTTATATGGGAAAACATATATCTTCAAATATCACTGAAAACTTTAAAATACCCCTGGAAAAGGGGAAAATAAATATTCCCAAACTTTTAATGTACTGTGACATCCATAAGCTGATTTCTGCTTTCTGTTCTTTAATTAGTTATTGATTCAGAAAATGATCTCTCCTATTTATTGCATTACTCCTCAGTTTGCTGAGGAATTTTTGGTGAGGGATATTGTTAAAAGCATTTGGAAGTTCAGGTAAACAATGTTTACTCAATCATCTATTTATTGACTCTCTCAAAGAACTAGTGAGGCAGGACTTACCTTACAAAAGCCATGTTCATTCCTTTTCAGCAAGGCTTTTCCTTCTACATTCTTGATATCTCTAACTTTAATACATTTAGATTTCTAATCTATTTAAATTAGATTAAATTAAATAATAACTTTCCACCAATTTACCCTGAACAGACATTAAGCTATCTGGTATGTAATTTCCTGGATCCCTTGCAAATGGAGTAGAAATAGAGTGTTTGTATATGTTGACACATAATAACCTGTCAAAAAGGCAAAAGGGGAAAATGCACACACCAGAGACATATGTGATTGTTGGACTATTATGTTTTACTGTATAGTTATGGCCTATTTTATCCCCACCCCACTGGGGCCATCAGAAACATTTTCATCACCATCCTCTACAGATGATTTAAACTTAAACCAGAAGCTCCCCAGCTTCTATCAGCTTTCTCCTGGGATCATTTTAAAGCTGCTCTTCCACCTTTGATATTAAGTACAAGCAGTCTGGTTCCATTCTGGCTTAAGTGGATTTTTTTTTTTTTTTTTTGGTACAGGCTCTGCTTTCCCCAAAATGTTCCCCAGTGCCTAAAAAATCTAAACCACTCTCCTCCACACCATCTTTTCATCCATGCTTTGAGACTTCTCATCTTTCCCTGCTTGCAGATGAGGCAGATAGCATTTCAGAAGTCCTGCCCTTCATGCTCCTACCTAGCAACCTACATTTGGCTTCCTGGACTTCACAGCACTACATTTCTTCCGGTCACTAGTGCTGATGCGCATCATGCCTACAACCAAAGTATCTAAATGACTCATGATACCCACAACCTTTGCACCAGGCAGGCAATTTAATACAGTCTGCATACTCATCACAAATTCAGTTGTCTGTGTTTCTAATAATCAAATCTCCCAGTACCACAAGCCACCCACCCTGAGGCATATTCTCAGTATGAGAGGATATATTTTCATCCTCCAAAGAATGGGCCTCCTCTAAGGCATAATTTCCTTCTTCAGTGTGATGATTTCCTTCTCAAGGCTTTTGTTATCCATGCCTGAGGAGGAGCTGTTACTGTAGGCTTGGAATGCAACTATGGAATGACACCCTGAAGGTGTCATCTGTATAGCTTTCTGCCTTTCTCAATTTCTCCAGTCTAGCTTTTGAGATTCAGCAATCCAAGCACACATCCATGACTTCTGTCCAGCCTGCAGACAGTCATATATGCGACACTCACTGCAACACATTGGATACACACACATACTTTTGCACGCTTTTTATCTTAACAGCTGTTTTTATTGCTATTTTCTTGGCTTATTCTCCTGAAAATATTTACCTGGTTTATTTACCTGAAAAATCACATTACTTATGAGCAGAAGGCAGGACAAGATTGACTGTCCTTACATAGAAACAGAGCGAGTCAGAAGGGACCTCCCAGGCCATCTAGTCTGACCTCCGACACCAGCCGGCTCCGCTCATGACATGCCTACCATGTGCATGTCCAGCCTATCTATCTTACCTCCTTACCCAGTTGCTAAACTTGCACAGGTACTTAGCCCAAATGAGTGCTTAACTTCTTTTTACCTTAATACTTTGTCACTGGTACCCAGATGCTTTGTCAGCCAGTTTCCTCATACTTAGTGATAATATACATTATTTTTTGATTAGGAACAGTTTGCTACGTAAGTTATTAGGAAGAACAGATTTGTATCTCTTTAGTGTATATGTATAATGTGTTGTTAATCACACAATGATCAGCTGTGATTAGTAACAGAGTGCCCCTCATTTAAGGGAAGAGCTTTCTCAGCGCTTCCAGTCTCACAAGGTTGCCTGATGTGGGGTCTACTTCTCCAACCTGAAGCATGGGAAGCTGTCATCTGGAACTTCCTTTAGCAATGAATCAAACAACATGCCTGATATGCTGAACTGTGCAAGCAATGGTGTCATAAGAACTATCTACCCAGCATGGGGGACTTTCAAACACCAATCCAACTTGCACACAAATCTACCATGTTCTCAAGTTGAAGAAACAGCAACAGAGGGGCAACTTAGAGGAAAAATGTGTGTATCAACTGTATCCCAAAATATCAGGTTGATTATTAGTGGTGTGTGCAGTCATTACTGTAAATGTAATTGTTCCTGGACAGCCTAACACAGAGGCTAGTGAGCAAGATCCTTCAACCGGGACTAAGGTGGAATATTCAAGAAGGTCCCCACTCTGATTCCCTGCTGAATGCACCATCACTTTCCATCAACCAAGTGTAAATCGCTGTGTGAATTACACAAACAATTTACATTGAAACTTACCACATCATAGCCTCATGGTAGCATTACAGAAATGGAAAGAATCAATATTTTATGGAGTTAGGTAATAATATACACATTATTATACACTTCACTTTACCACAACAGTTATTTTTCTCCACAAAATAGGAAGCTGAACTACACCCAAAAAGGTGAAGTTATTAGGTATATCAGTGGTAACAACCCTACTTTTATCTGAAAGCTGAATTCAATTTCAGAGAAATTTCCAGGGGCCGTATTCCAGAAGGGGGTGGGATTTGACGCAAAGGCATAGTACCAAAAGCAGGGAGGGCAAGGCCAAAAATGCAAGCATATTTTAGCTCTTACTGGTAGGAACAAAAACCTAGGTGAGGCATTTCAATCTATTAGAATTAGAGTGGAGGATGTGCAAAAGTCAGAGAACTACCAGATGATTAATATTCAGGAGGAAAAGTGGAAAGCACCTGATGATGTGGGGAAGGAACCATGGCTGTCTGAGGAACCCTGGAGGGTTAGGACCCCAATTTGACTCAATGTGACTCATGAGTCTGAGGTTCAACACCCCTGCTTCATATTATGATAGACCCTTAGATGCTATCCCAACTCTTTCCAAACCCTCTTCAGTTCTTACCTACACCTCAGTTCCAAAGGTTATGCAGTTTACATTAGCAAAGGAAGAAATAAAGGGTAAAAAACACAGTCCACATCATTCCATTTCATTGAGAACTGAACATAAAAGCCCACTCATTTTACTGGGATTGGATCTTCTGTCACAATACCATAAGCCCGGGCCTTGTCCATGTTAGCAATTTTGCATGGGGTCTTTTGCCATCAAAAATCCTTGGGACAGCTTTGAATTTTATCCATTTTTGGCAGTGTATATCTTCTTTTTCATAAAGTAGAAATGAGACACACATATTTGAAAATTGTACTTAGCAGAGAAAAAAGGCTGATTGCAGTTGCCGCCACTGCAAAACACTATATGGCTTTGTTACCATAGAACATGTAAAATGGACTCTGTGAAGGAGTAGCTCCATGATGCTTTCTTTGAGTGTTTCCTCCCTCCAAGGAGGGTGTCCGTGCCCACCTGCAATTCTCTGTTCTTTTCCTGACATGTCTGCAAGTTGCGCTCCAGTGTGGCCACCTGTTCTGCAGAAGCCTGTCGCTCCCTCTCTATTTTCCGAATGGTCTCCTCCTGCAGCATCAATGTTGCCTGTGCACTGCTCAGACGCCCATCCACTCCACGTTTGCCTGGAGGGGAAAAGGCTGCTCTTTAAGGGAAATGATTGTTGTACAATGCAAGGCTGGGGGAAAGTTATGCAGAGAAAACAACTATTCAAATGGCACCCTCATTTAATTTTTACATTGCTTCATCTGCTTGACAAATCCTGCTTTGGGAATGACAGGTGAAGCTCACAGTAATTGAAGACCACCATTCATCAGGGGCAAAAGAGGATCTGTGTCTGTTTCCCATCTTTGATGGGAAAGATAGCTAGGTGACATCCTTTTGCCTCCCGACCCCCAGATACCCAATTATATAAAGGATGTTAGGTTCGTATTGTTTTACATGGCTAAGGGTACAATCCTATAATGGAGTCCCTGACATTTGGAAACCATTGAATTCAGAGGTGTTCAAATTTCCAATGCCCTGGTTGAATGAAGACACAGGGGAGGAAGAGTGAAGGAAGTGATCTTCACCTCCCTGCCCCCCTGCTTTCTTGAATTTCGCTAGATTGGCTTTTCTGCTTGTCTACTGAGAGCACTGCAGAGAGGGAAGGAAGCTGGACAATGCTCAGAATACCATATTCTGGCCATTCCAGTCTCCTTCCCTCAACACAATGCTGAGAACACGCCATTTTTCCTTCTCAAGGTTGTTTTTCTGACCTGGGAGAGGCAGTCAGTAAAATTCTCCCAACTCTGGGTTCAAGGGGAGGTATCTGGGGTCAGATCTCTGAGGTCAGAGCACTCTTCCCAACAGTGGAGGAGTTTTCTGAGCTGTACTATGCTCCCTAGGTGCTCATCCAAGGATCATAAGCTTGCTCTTTGAAACTACTATAGAGTTAAGGTTTTGAAACCTTAGAGATCTGAGAATTTCATGAGGACTTGCTTAGGATTGGCTGCTTAAGGGCACAGATCCCACATGGCTTTTGTTTTCTTCAAAAAGATTTTAGAAAGTCCACTTTCTGTAATGAAAACTCCACATGATATGCAATATATGCAACAATTTCTCAACAATTTTTTAAAATTAAAAGCAGTTTGGGACTGTCTAGCTTTTTGAGAGAAGGAATAAAGGAGAGATACTTAATCCTTTCCCTATCCTTCTTAACCCACTTTTCACCCTGCAAGACTTCAGATGCATGTATGGGTGAATTAAAACATCCAGTGTGGATATGACTGAATACTCCTCCCCACCAGAGCTCCCATCATAGCCTTTCAGAACTGCTTTTGTTTTTTAAAAAGGTCAAAGCTTCATTGACTTCATTGCCTTCAACTATTTTTGTATAGTATGTAGCTTATCCTACAGGTGCAATCCTTTTCCCAGGAAACAAACAAAGAGCTCTATCATCATGAGAAGTAAGGGAGGAATACACAGATAGACAGTGAAAAGAATAGAGGGGGATAATAGATAGACGAAAAGGAGAGCAGGCCTTCCTCGCAGTCTGCCAAGAACTTCTGGAGTTGCAGAATTCGACTCTTTGTCCGATCACGATCAGATTCCATTTCATTCAGTTGGTGGTTCATATTCATCACTTGAATTCTTAGATCATCCTGGGAGCAAGAAGTAGGAACATGCTTTTGATATACTTATCAAAAGGACTGAAATGATTATTTTTGAAACTGTATGTCATTTTTAAAGCTTGTCTTTTTTTTTAAACATCTAACACATTACCTGACTTCACAGAGTCTTCAGAACACCTCACAATATATGCTTATAAGCAATTATACAGCTATTTTTTAATAAAATGACAATAGAAAACCTAATACATATTCATACCATTAGAAAACATCAGACTTAAAAACTGTACAGAAACTATGTATCCTTCCTAAACTGGCAGATCAATGAACATTAGACCATAACGTGCCACAGATAGAATTGGCCTGACAGATAATTCTAGGGAAGGAGCTCTAATCAAGAGGGCCCCACCCCAATCCCAACTAGCTTGGGATGAAGAAAAGACTGAGCAAGGCCTCATTCCTTGATAACAGTGCATGGGGGAACCTCATATGTGTGTTATTATAAACTTAACCCAAAGAATGTCTTTGTCTGACAAAACCCAATTCTCACTGGTTCACACCCATCACTGAAAACACATTACTGAATTGTTTAGTGTGAAAGAACTGGGTCTTACATATTTTAAAAATATTAGTGTTTGATCATTTCTCAAGAACAGAAATATACCACCTGCTATGTACACAGAACTCTAATTCAGTGGCAGACACTACACTACAATAAGTATCATAATGGACATTTTCATCTCCAGGGACCAGCTTTTGCTTATGTAAGACCAAAATGCCCTCTATTTTCACAGGTGAGGAAAACAGGGACAGCAATTCATCCATGTTCTTGGAGGCTTCACAAAATTCCCCCCACTTTTGGGGCTTTTCTTTACCTTGGGCAGTGGCAACAGATCCATCTTCTGAAGAAAAGAAATTCTGCTGCCACTACCAAGGTAAGCAAGGGCCAAAGCTCTAGGAGAATTTCAGGCTTTCATTTATTTTTTTACATCCTACCCTTAACCATGCCAAAATTTATTTGAAAGAAGTTCTGACTCAGCATCACTGTGTACTTTATGAGTGCCAAGTCATAACATAAAAATCCACTTTAAACTTCACATGTGAGATGTGTGGTTTTGATGCCAATGGCCATGGTATCCCTCTCGACCAATTATGAAGATTGGAGGCCCTGTGTTTCAGTGGTTCTGTTCCTATCTGAATGACCATTTTCAGGACATTGTTTTGGGGGAAGGTGTATTATTGCCTTGCCAAATCCAGTTATGCTTTGGTGTACCACAGGCTTTGTTTTATCTCTATTCTATCTCTACACAAAACTATTGAGTGGAGTCTTCTGGAGATTTACGATGAAGTGACATCACTACATTGATTACAAATTCAACTGGCTCCTTTCAATCAAATTGAGGTGAACTTATAGAAGTGAGTAATCAATGTGTGAAATCAGTACTGGATTGGATACAGGTCAAAAGTTAAACATGATGCAGGTATATCTGGTCGGTGGTTCATTTGACCTTGGATAGCACTTAGAGACAGTTGCACTGCCTCAAAACTGCCAGTTTAGTCTGTTTTGTTTATGTTTTAGTTTAGTTTAGTTTTTCCTTTGATCTGCATTTTTTCTATGTAATTGTATATGTTGGAAAAATAAAAATTATAAAAGAAAAAAAAAAAACCCTGCCAGATGCTATTAGGCCCAAGTGCTATGTCTTTACAGTCTTGTCCTTTTCAGTTAGGGCACCGTGACTATAGAATTCTTTTCCCAGTGAGGCTCACCTGACCCTGAGCAGGATGCCTTTTCAGCGCTGGGTGAAGACTTAAAAAATGCACTCAGGACTTTTACAGTTCTGTTTTCAGGATATTATGTGACATGACACTAGATAATTTCTTTTCCTTTGGTGGCTCTGTTTGCTTTATTGGCTTGCTTTCTTGTTGTTCTAATGTATTTTATATTGTCGTTAGCTGTTGGGAGTTCCTTTGTGCTGCACAGCAAGGTAGGAAATATTGTCTAATGGGTAAATATAAATCAATGTGCATGTTAACAAAATGCCTCTGGGCAGATTTTCCTCACTGTTAAAAACAACCTGCCAGTCCACATCACAGCGTGGGAAGTAGAAGATTCGGCTTCTTGAAAGACTTCAATCCACACCTCTTACGTATACTCCAACTGCCCCTCTTTATCAGGGACACCTTACCTTCTCCTTGTTCGCAAATTCTTGACTCCATTTGTTCCCATTTTGACTTCTGGGGATGCCTTGCTAAAATTACAGGGCCATCTTGCTAAAATGAATGGCTTTCATACACAGCAGTTGCTGTAGAATAACATATTACTGGACAATTTGATTTTTCTGGTATATCTTTAACTCAAAACACAACCATACCCTTGTTTTTTAAGCCAGCAGAGCACAGCCTGCTGCTCAATAAATGACTATAGGGCACGAAGCAATATGTGGGGGAGGCTCAGGAAGTGGCCCTTGGTATGGAGGGTTGGCTTCAGGTTATTTTGGATATTGGCAGAGCCCGTTTGCCTTTCCTCTGTGGCTGCAACGCTTCCTCAAACCACAGCCTTTAATTCTTTGGCTCGTCCTCTTGTTGAGAAGAGCAAAATATGCTACCTACATCCAGCTGCACAGTGGACATTGCTACCACCACCGTCTTGGTTGGCAGGTGCAGGCTGAGAAACATTTGGCTCCTGTGCACAAGCCTCGTCTTGAGCTGTGCCCCCCCTTCCCCCACTAGGGTGCGTATACTTAAGCTTTCACTTCTGGCACAGCCAGACTAGAACTGCCATGAGGCGGACAGATGAGCAGGGTTGGTGATGGAATTCTTAGCCCCAGGGCTGTCAGCAGGTTCTACACCATGCAAGAGCTCCAACGCTGGCCTTGGAAGTGTTACAAATATGTCTCAGTTTTCCTCTGGGAAATGTTGGAAATTAAGTACTGCACTGAATCTTCTTGCTTGGGGCCAGGACATGAGGCAGTAATAATCGGAAAGCAAGCATTGCTGAAATAATTTCAGTGCATCAAAACTTCTTTCTATTGAGGCTGCAATCAAATTTAATTTAGAGTAAATATGAGTAGGCTAGAGCTGGAAAAGTGTTAACTGAAAGAAGTTTGTTATTGAGTTCAGATATTCCATTTGGTCACTGCAAGTTACCCATAAATTGTGGGACGAGACAACAAAGCAAGGAATGCCTTAGATTCTGTGCAACCCAGAAAGAATTAACTGATTTCTCCATTTGTCAGGAAGGCCGTTGGATGATCTGATGCTATGATTATTGTGACAGCCCATGTTTTTTTAATTATTCTGGTACAGTATAAATATTTATGCATTTTTACAAGAGGCATGCTTTTGAGCAATAAATAGCACATGACAGAGAAAGGGCTGAACTGCCCTTGAATGTTGCTAAACATATGGCTTGGAAGTCAACTCAGGGTCATACTGAGCTAGATTGGCTCACATGATCCTGCAAAATAGAGCTGGGATAGCCTGATGGTTATTGGCTGGGCAAATGAACTGGGTCCTTGGCAGAGCAGACACATTCTGAGGATCCTGGGCCTAGCCCTGCTTGGGATGGAAACTTCAGCACCCTTCTGTGGCCTGGCTTCAGAGAAGTACAGATGCATTCTCTGAGGAACAACATGTATTCATGAGGTCTCGAGTTCTGTGCTCAACAATAATTAAATTCTGCAACAGTAATGAATCACATATCTTTGCACATATTTACTTGATTTGCATACTTTTGCTCTAGCAATAAAAATATTTTGCAGAAATTTGGATTATGTTTCTGCACGCATGCACACTCATATATATTTGGATGGGTCTTGAGGAAGAAAGGCTGAGATTTTTCCAGTGAAATATCTTGACTAGGAAGGGAAAAGGGAAACTGGAGTCACAAGAGAAGACCTGAAGCAGTTTACAGATGTTAGGACTCACATTTACCACCCCAATTATAGTATCAGTTATATCAGTTTAGCATCATCTACAGCAAAATTTCTTTACAATATTTACATTGCTCATCTGAACTTCTGTTACTCTTGGAGAATTGAGGCCAGTGGTGTTCCTAAGGCTGGACCTTAGAGCTAAAGTCTGGGGCAACACACCTGTATTGGCAGGTGAATGCCTGGGATCTCTCAGGCTAATTAGCTACAGTACATACCCTCCCTCCATTCCTATTTGCTAATGCGTTTTAAAACCAGACAGTGCACAGCTAGGCATATACATACTTAGATACTCATTTTGTTATTTTTACTTTAAATACATATTATCCCTTTCTGCAATAAATGATGGTGTATTCTTGAATAAATGCATTTGCCTCAAGGCAGCAGAAGTAAATTTCTATTTCTTTCTAGAGCAATGTTGGTGTTATGATTTGTGTTTTAAAAATGAAAATGCATGCACTCGGATTATTATTTTTTAAATCAGCCTTGGCAAACTGGGATTGCTTTTGCTCTTGCTCCAATGTATCAGGAATGTTGGAACTATTGTAAAGCATGGAATAAGGGCGGGGAAGAAGAAAATTACCCGTGTCGACATCTCTGTCTAAAATGTGTATGCATGTGCTGCAAGAGGCAGTCACAAGACTGCTAAATCCAAGATTTAGAATTGCCTACCTGCACTACTGACTAAGGCCAAGATAACACTTTGCCCATACCCATGAAGTGAGCCCATGACTAGGGTGGAACTTGAACACAGTCCTTTCTCTCTCAAATGTGACATTTGCATGTAACTGTACTTAGAATCCAAAAGCCTTCCCCAGCTTGGTGCTCTTCAAAAGTTAGAGTAAAGCTTCCAGCATTCTTTACCATTGACCCTGCCTGTTGGGGCTGATGGAAGATGAAGTTCAAAACATCAGGAGAGCACCAGAATAAGGAAGTTGGATTAGTGATGCATCAGCTATTCCCAAATATACATGATGGTCATGTGTATCCAAAGTATTGCAAATTACTGCCAAGATCCTTCTTGGCATCAGACTTGTGAGTGGAATAGAGTTCAACCCATATAGCCAGACCAACTTATTCTTCAGACACTCTTAGAAATGTGTGGATATAATTCAGAGGAGGTTAGGATTTTGTATGCACAATGCTCCCCAGGCATCCAAATACACATCCAGAAACACTGATAATAATTTCTGGTAACACCCTTAAAGCTAATATGACATTGAAAACAGCATGGCATGTTATCTTAAATGAGGTGCCTGGAAACACTTGCTTGAGATGTGCACTTGAATGTGTTCTAGGAAGCAAAAAATAGACTTTGGTGCATACAGTTCATTTCTGGAGCTGTTCCAAGTCCTATTAAAATCAACAGGTCTTAACATTCAGACACTTAAATGCTACTGATTCCAATGAGACGTGTCACCCAACCCTTTGCCTGGTTCCTAAGATGTAAATCCCAATGCAAAGGATTTCAGCCTTAGAAACCTCCAACTTCTGTTGGACTGCAGCCACCAAATGAAAGAAGTGAGCCAGGATTCCAAAGGGTGTGTACATTGTTATGGAAATCAAACCATGACAGTGATTATTTAAAAATAGCTACCTGAAAATGCAGATAGATTATAAATCCTCTTCCTACAAATGTGAGAATGAAACCTTCTTAATTGCCATTCTGGCAATCCATTGTGGTGTAGGACACAGCTGGGGGCACAAAAGTAACCTGGAAAAAGGAAGGCATCTTTTCCCTACAATCCTTCATGAAAGTCAGCCAAGCAGGTAGACTTCACAATCTACATGGTTCCAACTGGTCATATGACTCAGAAGGGATGAACATGAGCTGAAGTATCCTCCATCCTAAACTGTGGTGATATGTTATGTCTTTATATCACCTTATGGTGATAGGTCCTTAGATGCGAAAATACATATGTATGTTCAATGGTGTTATAAGGATAAGCTCCCCTAAGACCATGACTCTGCAATGTTTAAGTCTTACTATCCTCACATTGTGCTTCATAGAGCATTGTGGAGGCAGCACTTTGAAAATATATGTATATATTGTACAGTAGAAGAACAGATCTCCTTACATACCCTCTCCCTCTGAGTGTCCCGCAACTCCTGAAGGAAGTCCCGCAAAGTATCTCGAACGACTTCTGGGTCAATTTCAGTCGTGGCTTGCTCGCCTCTGAGAGGAGAAGGTTGGCGAAGTGGAGAATGTGAGCGGCTTCTCTCAGGGGACTCAGTGCGGGAGGTGGGTGTTTGTCGACCACTGGCTCCTAGGAGATACATATTCTTAAAGTCTTGGCAGGCAAAGGAGGAGGCTGAACAGGATGGCTAGAGATCAGAGGGAAGGGCTTTAGGGCACTGTACAACTCAGTAAAACAATTTTTTGAAGACAGAATATAGGGAACTGCCTTATACAAGGTCACATAAGTTGTCCCCAGCCCTACACAGTCTCTTTGCACAACCCGGAGCCTTCCAGAAGTTCCAGACTACAATTTTTATTTGCCCACCATTTTAAATGTTAGGAATTTTAATCTGGTTTTAACTATTTCACAGTCACATTTTGATTTTGTTTCTGTTTTTGATTTTACTTCTGTTTTTACTTGTGAAATGTTATTGTTGGTTTCATGCATATTTTTAATTATTGTTAATTGTTGGATTGTTTGTTTTGATTTTTGTAAGCTGCTCTGAGATGCTTTTGCATATAGGGCAGGGCATAAATATTTTAAATAAATAAATTCCCAATATTCCTGACCACTGGCCATGTTAACTAAGACTGATGGGAACTGGAGGCCAAAACATCTAAAGAGCACCAGGCTGTTCAAGGTTGTCCTGCAGTGAATGGCACGAAGTCTCCATGGTCTCAGACAAAGGTCTTTGCTACCTGAACCTTTTCAGCTGGCAATGTTAGAGATCAAACCTGGGATGGTCTGTGTGTGAAGCATGTTGCTTACCACTTAAGTATGGTCCCCCACTTTGACTGATAAAGTATGCAACCATCAGGTACATCGTAACTGCACGAGATGTGCTCAACAATGTGGAAAAAACCTGCAGGTGCATCATGATCTATCACTTCCACAGGTAAAGCTGGGCTTTCAGTAGCACTGAGTACATAATAAAGCAGAGTCACAAGCACAGAAGGAGACTCAAGGAACTGCCTCAGACCAATGGACCTTCTAGCCCAGTATTTTCTATGTTAACCAGCAGTCCCTCTCCAAGGTCTCTAGCAGAGATCTTCAGCCAGTCTTGTTACCCAGGTTTCTTTTAAGCAGAACCAGAGACTGAACTATATGGACTGAGTTCCATGACTGCTCACTTAAGTGGCAAAATAAACTACTTCAACATATGAAAGCAAGTACACTGCCTTCATTACCTGCCTCATCCCCCGCATTTGGCCTGTTCCCCAACACAGTTGTAGTGGTTGAATGGTTAGACTAATGTCTTTCCTATAAGCATGTTTCATGTTCAGGATCAGAGGATGATGACTATGCCCCAGGTACTGCTTTAGCTGAAACTCAAGGCATGGTAGTAAGACGGGGACCCCAGCTAGGAACCTTCTGACCTTTGACTGGAGAGCAGGATCTCTGTGGTGACGGGCTCCGGCTGCCAAGCCCCAGTGTGCGGCGTAGAGTTGAGTGCAGTGCCACCAACTTGAGCTCAACCTCCCTTTTGGCTGCTTCAGCTTTGGCTAGCTCTATTTCTAAGCCACGAGTGTGTCCCTCACAGGTGCTGAGGCGCATCTGGAGGTCCTCGCTTGTCCTGCTGGCTTCTTGCAGTTTCATCTCCAGGTTATGGAGGTCATCCTTCAGCTTCTTCTCCTTTCCACAGCTCTCAGCAAGGCTCTGCATCAAATCCTGCTCTCGAAGCTGAGACTCTGCCTCTGTAGCTGCTAACTTCTTCTGCAAGCTCAGTATCTGGAATGGAGCAAGGTCAGCAGGCTAAATGTGGTGTATGTGGACGGCTTCCCACCATCTCTTCAGGAACACTGATAATGGGGAATTCAGAATGTGCATGTTCATGTATGTGTTTGTGAATGAGAGACACAGAGAGATTCTGATCAGGATTATTGAAATGGGAAGGGGGGATTAATTGTTAGCCTCAGTGCCATGGCCCCTCTGACTGTATTGACTATTTTAATTACCTGTTTTAACTATTTTAATTACCAATTATGGATCTCCTGCTAACTTGGTTAGTTGAACCCTAAGCCAAACATTTATGAGCATATGCCTACAGATATGTGCAGCATATTGCAGAGCTCATGGTTTCTTCAAAGCCCAGACAAGTTTTTCTTTGACTGATGTAGAGATGAAGTTAGCTTCAAAGAAGAATAGATGCAAGAGTTCAACATCAAAGCATCTTCAATTGTCAGTTTGCTCTAACCCCATCTGCACACCCTTTGTTCCACAGAGAGCAACATGAAGCTATACTCATAAACACACCCTGCTTTAAAAAAAAGTCCCATCATTTCTCTTAGAAGTGATATTCATGCAATTCAGGTTGTCATTATATATTCCATTTCAGTTGTAATTGATGTATTTCACATACACATGCACTGTAATTGAATTCAGGGGCCCTATAACGATAAGTGAGAGTTTTGAGGTGGTCATAAGTAAACTATTTTTGGGCCATGTTTCATCCCCATGATCTCTGCAGATATATTCTGTGGTCTAGCTACAGAAACACCTGGCCTAACAGCAACATGCAGCTCAACCTCTACATGGGAAACTTAAACAAATACAAACCTAACCAGCCATAACTGCCCTCTTATGATCTTGTACTACTGTCTGCCTGCACCTGACCCTTGCAAAGCCAGGAAGATCTTTATGTAAGCATTTCGATGCACAAAATATATGCTATTTATTGTTTTTATAGGCCTTTCAAAGCTATTGAACAGGAAGAAAAATATACATTTAGTCCATACAGATATCCCTTCCTGTCCTGCAACGTATCTCAGCTGTTGCTCTCATGAATCACTGACCTGCTTAGTTCTTCTTCCATCTCTGACTAACATTCTCCACCATTACCTCCTTGTGAGCAGATTCCTGGACAATCTCCAACTCAGTTATCTTTTGCTTCATTTCAAGAGCCTCTTTGCTGTTCTGTTGTTCTTCCTCCAGCAATCGATGCTGTAGTTCAGTAGTTTCCTGGATTCTTTTGCTGTTCTCACTCTCTAGCGCTTTCACCTGTGATGGAATCAAAAGAAGCCAGGGTGTTCCCCAGTGCTTAAGTATCCAACTCATGTGTGGACTCTTCTGTGTAAAACCTTCACTTTCATAATTGATAACTGCTTTTAGATTGCAATAATTGCCTATGTCACATCCTTATCCAAAAACTAGTTTTCTTCTAACAGAAACTATCAGGTTCTACAATGTGAGACTTGAGATTCTAATTTATTGCAAGTGTAACAAACTATGCATGCTGCATAATCTATTAAAGATAGCTGAAGAAGATAGTGATGAAGCCTGAAAAGGGGAAAAACTGCACCAAAACTTGAGATGTTTGGAAAGAGAAGCATTAAGGGCAGGAGTTATGATGGATGGTCATGGTCTCAGGTTTGTTTCAGAGTGACTTTTAGGTTCAAAGTAATCAAGCAAGACATGCATTTAAACATAAGAATATAGAAAAAGCCTTGCTGGATCAGACCATAGGCCCATTTAATTCAGCATTCTGTTCACATTGTGGCCAACCAGATGCATCTTGGGAAGCCAATAACCGGGACTTTTGTGGAATGACTTTGGGGTGCTGATGCTGCTTCTGCCACACTCCCCTTTGTTCCGTCCAGCCTAGATACAGAGACTAAAGCCGGCATGGGCAACCTGGAACCCTGAGCTTAATTTCAGATGCTGTCTCCAAGCAATCAGTGCAGTCCTCTGGCAAAAGTGATCTGCCCCCTCACTGTTCAGAAGAAATGAAAAAGAGCAGCAGAACAAGAGAGAAAATGAGTGCCGGAAAGAGAAAGGATGATTTTTGGCTCCGGTTCTTCTTTGCCTTTCTCCACCTCGCATACATGCTCCCTGGCATGTGGATCTAGAAAGAAAAAGTTTCCTTGCTTGCTCTAGCGCTAAGCAAGGGCCTGCAGTAACTGCAAGTGACTTTCAATATACATCCCCTTACTGGCAATGCCATTGGTCTCCTACAGTGATGCTTAGATGCACAGTTTTGCCAAGCAGAGAAGAGCGATCCTGAGATGCATTCTGAGCTGCAGCTACCTGTCTGCGCAGCTCCTGAAGCTCCCGTCGAGCTTCCATGCGAGACTTCTCCACTTCTCGTAGATTTGCTCGGAGATCTCCCACCTCTCTCTGAACTGCTGCTTTTGCTTCTTCCAAGATAGCAATCTTTTGCTCCTTCTCCTCCTTGCTTCTCTGCAGGCTGCAGGAGATGTCCATAATAAATAGTCTAAATACATGCAACTCCTAAAAGCACTGTGAACTGGCAGCTCCTAACTCAACAGCACTGTATTGGCTTTTTAAAAATTTCCCTCCACAACCTCTCACAGTGCCATGTTTACCCACCTGAGCTTCTCACTCTCTGCTTTCTTGATAGTTGCTCTTAGATCTGTGTTGGACTTCTGTAGAGCTTCTTTTTCTCTGCTTTCATCCATTACAGCCCTGTGAATTTCTAGCAGCTCCTTTTGATGGTGATCACAAGCCTCTTCGGACTCCTGTAGTCTGTGGTGAATCTCAGTCAGTTCCTTGCGAACTCCCGCACTGGTATCCTCTGCCAGGCGGAGTTGTGCTTTTAACTGTTCTGCCTTCAAGAAAAAAGCACTGCTGAGCCAGGAACCCTAAACCTGCAACACAGTCCTAAGGCTCACTCAGAAATAAACTTGTCATCAGTGATGTTAAATCCCAGGAAGCACACTTGGGATTGTAGTGTTAGTGACACACAGGAAAACTGATGTTGGCACAATAGACCCTTGAAAGGCTGGTGTTGCTTCAGTCACAGAGGCTGGGACACAACACAGTAATTCATCCACTTCCATGAAAGCACTGGCCAGATATGATTATTTAGGGTACCCGCATGGTTAAAGAAGTCCTACAGCACTTTCCTATACATGTGCCTATTCAGAGGCAATTCTCAACTGGGCCTGCTCATTTCACCCACAATGAACTGTGCCACCTGCTGGGCACATGTGACCACCATTTTGAATATTCCACCCTTGCATAACCCTAGTACTAATCAAAGGTTATATGAGGGTTGTTGTATATTGAATTCAACAGTTGCATGTATCCAGCGGGTGCCACAGTTCATTGTGGGTTATTTAAGCCACAATAACTCTTCATGTTGTGCAAACTGGGACATTGTTTTCACTGGAACTTACTTCCATGTAAATGAGTGCAGGATCAAAGCTATAGTTAGATTAAGTAATTAAACCTCCATAAATTTGGTTATGAACAATAGATCTCATGAAAACCCACTGTGGCTCAGGTTTGGACAAAATTAGGCTAGTTATCCACAATGGGTTGCTGTGCTGTGTGAACCAGTCACCACTGTCAGTTTGCTCTCTGCTTGCTATGACTCAGTCTCAGGTTTGGACAAAAGAATGCCAAGAATGACTTAATGTTCCTTCAAGTTCATTAGTTGACAGGGAATTTACAGGTAAATGTAATTTACAGGTAAATGTAAATTTGGCCAGGGCGACTTAATTTATACTGTTTATACTGTTCATATATATTATTTAGTGAGTTTGTGATGGTTGTGAGCCGCCTCGAGGCTTCGGCGAACAGGGCGGCATATAAATCTCATAAATAAATAAATAAAATAAATGGCCCCAAATGGCCAGGAAATAGCCTTTCCATACGAACAAGGAAGTCTTCAGCTATCGGTTGTGTGTGTGTGTTGTATAGGGAATTGTAGGAGTGGTTTTTGAAACACAAAAGCTGTTTCCAGGCAGCACTTATTGTAGCACTGCCCTTGTTTGGACAACATGACACCTTCACTTATAGCCCTCTTGTATTTTCTCATGGCTTTTTCCATCTTGTTTTCTTACCACAGAAAATCCATTAGGAGGGGAAAAAAGACAGAACAGCTGCACAATGCATTCTAACTGGTGGCATTAGGAGCCCTCTACCTGGAAGCACCCAGAGACAAAACGAGATGGAGAACTGCAAAGAAGTAGATGACTGAAAGGCATCTTGGGGTATATTCATCAGGATTTGAGAAGGGGCGGTGGGTTTGCATTTCCTGTAGTAGTACTTAAGTTGCTTGTCTCTGCCTGTGCAATACATTTGTATATCTCTCTAATATTATAAAACCACTGTATGGTCTCTTCACCAAAGGAATCCAAACCTTGGAGAGCATTGTTCCTAAAACACCTCATTGCTCAAGGAAGTGACTATCATACAACATTGTCTTTTCTGTTTTGATACCTGGTCCTTTCCCAGTTCTCTGTCCCTATCCTCCTAGACTGTAATCAACACAGAGCAGTTTCATATACAAGCTGTAGAAGACATTGCATAGAAAAGCTTATTTATAAAATATCCAAAGCAGAACTTACCTATACACAATCAAAAAAAGCAGTTATTTAAGTATAAGTATTTGGAAAGGGGGTGCCTGATCTAAAATAAAACTGGAAGGGTAGCAATGTTTGAGCCATAAGAAAAAATCCAAAACCCATATAAGGGCAATAGTATGCCAATTCAAAGGGTCACAAAAACATGCAAGATTTTGAGATCTTCAGATCTCTTCATCAGGCAAGATGTCACAAAAAGTAACACAGGGCCGGGGAGAGGAGGGGGGAAAGGAAACTTGATGTAGAAATTGTGACTTCTGCATGGACAGTCTTAACATGCAGAGTGGGTGCGAGTTGGAGTTATTCAGGGCCCATCCCTGCCCAATGACTGGGGGAAGTTGAGGGCTCTCTCACACTACAGCCATTCAAGTTGCAAGTGGACACCCATCTGAGAGGGATGGTTTAACTTGGAGTCTTGCACTGAGCAGGGGGTTGGACCCTCTGATCCCTTCCAACTTACTATTCTATGATTCTATGTGAAGGCTTAAATTGGTTCATAGAACTACCCTAATCTAGAGCTCAATAAAAGACAGAAATTACTCTTACTTACAAAAGCAAAGCAGTAGGTACAGTCTATCACCCAAATATACTTAGTTAATATTACAATCCCATGTGTGTGTACTCAGACATATCACTGAATGAATGGGTCTTACTTTTGAAAAGGTATGTATTGAATTGCAGTGCACATCCCTTTTGGCTAGAAAGCAAAGCTGTCTTCTGTGACATGACCACTGTATGGAAAATCTGAGTTCTTGGTAGCAAAGCTAAAGTATCCTCTGACTGAAGTAAGACCCATCTTCTATATTGTTCGAAACACTGGAAAGGTTGTGCTAGCCAAGCCTGACCAAGTAAAATAATGTTGATGTTCCTTGACGGTTCCTGGATGTCTTCTTATGCGAACTGACCAGGGCCACTGTATTTCACTTCCCATATAAAGGAAGGGTTGGCAACCCACAGCGTGTAGGGAAGGGAGGGTTAGCCTATCACTTCTTAGCAGTGATACCAATGGAAATCCAGCTTCAACACTGACAGCTAATCTTGAGGGAAATTAACTCATTTACACCAATCAGAATAATGCAGGGAGGTTGTACGGCAAGTTATAGCATGCAGAGTTAACCCCCCATTGTCTTTTGCATGGCATTTATACTGAAAAACAATCCCTTCATTTGGCATCAACCCTTTGACACTTAGGGATCTGGCAAACAGATTTGAGGCTGGGATGTCCTGGGTTTAAGTCTAGCAGCACTCTTGGAACTGACAGTTAAAAGATGGTTTCTTGACACAGAGGTCTCTCTGGGTAGACACAGTCTCTTATCTACTACCCCTAGGTAGGATCATCACTCCTGTGAAGAACACAAGTAGGGTTTGCAATACTGAGAGGAAAAGGGAAGAAAAGGAGCACTTTGATTTTTGGAAGGCTCAAACATCTTAGCCTGTTTTACTGCCCTGCCTCCTTTGTGGGATAAGCTCACCTATGGTCAGCTTGCAGTATTTGTAAATAAATCCCAGATATTGCAAAAGTGCTCTAAGTCTGCAGTGATCTCTCATGAAACAACCCCAAATAAGTGCTGCTCCTAGAATTTCTCATCACTTGAGGAAGTGGGCAGTGTGTAACAATATATAGCACTGCAGCTGACAACTTGAAATGCTAAAGCTTCCTTCAGCTCATGTAACTTTGGGCCAATCATCTTTTCCTCCTGGGGCCACAAGAGCTCAAAGTGTAATTTGCTATGTCATGCAAGAAATCTATGTGTGAATGGAGGATGTAACCATGCATCACAGTGAATGTATCTCAACTTGTGACTATAAAGGAAGGTGAGAAAGAGGTGTTGTGTAAGATGGTGTTAGTCCATTTATCTGTCAGATTGTGCTAATGCCTAATTGGATCTATCAGCATGCTTATGAATTTTGGTGTGATACTGTGGAGGAGTATTGCAAACTTATATTTGGAGTGTGAAGAAGGAAAGAACCTGGAGGAATTCAATGGATGAAGAGCAGCTACATGGCCTGATGTGATCTTAAAGCCTCCCCCATTCATGAATCAGGCAATTAGAAAAATCACATGCCCTGAAGACACTTCTCTATATTGGGGTGTTTTCTGTCATCATCACCATCATCTGTTATATTATTTAAAGCATCTAATCTGCAGTGTAGATACTGAAAATATGTCAGAACTTCTATAGGATCTGTGTTTACACAGTCCAAGTTATACTAATTTGAAACAGATAAATGTTTCTGCTAATACCTAACAACTTAAGGTGTTTCTGGATTAATGGTCCCTAGTGCTAACAATTAAGAAGGCACTGTGTAGCTATTTCATTCTTTTTCTGTAAAAGGAGTTCCCACTGTAAAGAAAGAGAAAGAGTGATGAGAAAACAGGGGAGGGCTATGAGTGGAATATTTAGTCAGCTGGATCTTCTGTAAAATTCTAAGAATAAAAATGCTTTCTGGAAGCACCCACACTTAAGAAAAGGAAGAGGAAGAGGAAGAAATGCAATAAGTGGGATATTTGAATTAAATCTGTGCTTGATCAAGATCCTCCTCTAAGGCATTTTCCCTTGCTTTTCATGATGCATATACCTCTTGAACCTGGAGTAAAAAAGCAACTGTTTCCACCTGGTGCACAGTCCAGGGTGGGGGCAAAGAAGAAAAATTAGCAGCAGCAACAGGGTTGGAGCAATGTCAGCAGCTGAGTAATGCTGAACTGTAATGTAGATGAAACACCCAGAGGTCTGGAAGCCTGCAGACAACCACGGGGCAGTCCTTTTCCATGCTCCCTCCAGTACCTTCGCCACACAGGTACAAGACAGCCTCCATCCCAGTCCAAGATAATGTATCCCAAAGGCTGCACTGTGAGCAATTACTGGGAATACTCCAGCTATTTCCTGTGCAGGATGTCTTAAAAACAGGAGAAAACAGTGCTCTGCATTTTAATTCTGCCCCTCTGGAAATGCCTGAGCCTGCTTTTGCTCTGTACCCTGCACATTACTGGCCCTGGAGCTGGGCAGGCAAGTTCTATATGAACCCCAAGCCCCCTCTGTTTTCTTCCCAGTTTTCTTCCCTAATTCTTTACTCTGAAAGTCTCTAACATTGTCCAGATCCTCCCTGTTGGCCTGGCTCATTCCGACCAGCTCTCTGTTATTGTTGTTCTGTTTTTGGGAAGGATTAGGGTGAGCCCCCTTCTCTCCCAGCCCCCACCCACATATGGGATCCACAAACGGACTCAGCACTTTCTGCTGAGCTCAGCAGAAATTCACTAAGAAAGGTCAGTGACCAAAGAGAGGAACGATCCATCATAAAATAAACTGTTTTTATTCCCCAGGATAAGGAAAGGGGGGCTAGTAGGGGGTGGGAATGAAAAGAAAACATCGCGCACACACACATGTCCCCTCCCCTTCCTGGCTCACTGGCTCTCTGTGTAAGGACAGAACTTTCCTCATTTGCAGGAACAGTGCAGCAAGCTCTTAATGTGATTATTATAATTATATCTTGACTAGAACTTTTTATAAACAGCCTCTTTGGAAATAAAGCTTAGGCAGCCAAGTCTCCAGCTGAGTCCTGGATACTTGGAAACGGGTATTTAGAGTGGGAGAGAACGAGGGTTTACAAATTTGGATCTGCATGTGCATGCATGCGGATGGGACTGTGGCTGCGCACTCCAGGGCTTGAAGAGTCCTGAATGCTGTTCATGGAATGATACATGCAGCTGTGACAGCGTGTAAATTCACATGGCGATTTCCACAAGAAAGAATGTTTGGCACATGGATGTTTCCACAGACACACATGCGGTTGCCCCTAGGATGCGTGCCCAGGCCTGCCTGTGTGTGCCTAGCCCTGCTTGACTGCGAGTGTGTGTGTGTATGTGCATCAGCACGCGCGCCGATGTGACCATGCTTGCACGTATGCGAAGGCAGGGCTACTCAACAAGCCTGACTTCCTCAAGTTAAAAGGCTGTGAAAATGTTATGGTTCCCATGGCGATAAGTAGGTCAATGCTGGCGCCTGCGAGGATTTTGCTCTGTGTTTCTTTACCCTCAGCTTGTTATATTAGTCCCACAACTGTCCTCTCCCACTCCCCTCTCACTCCTTCTCTCTCTCGTCGGCTGTTGTCTCCCTTCCCATGCTGTGTTAGTCTTTCTCTGCCCATCCTGTATCCATGTGTGACTATACTCACCCCTTCGCCCCATCCCCATTCCTTTTGCCCTCCCTGCCCTTTGAAACAACCCTCTTCTGCATGCTTGTGTGGTCCCTCCTGGGGCTGGACTTTGAAATCTGTTGAAAGGAGGCCTTTTTTTGCCAAAATAAACAGCCTGTCATGTTAAATTACTCTCTCTTCCTCTTTTATGTCTTTTAATTTTCTATTTTCCCCCTTACCCTACCCCAGTCTTTTCAGGCTGGGGTCATTCTCTTCTGCCTTTGTAGAGAGTGCGAGCTCTGAAAGCATCTGGCAGTGGGTGAGGGTTACCACCTGGGGATTTTGCAGATACTGTTCTACTCCAAGAGTCACCATCTAGAGATGGATGTTAGAAAGAGGGGATGTGACAGGCTGGGCAGTGATCCTCGCTTCCCCTTTAACCAATAGCAGGCTTCTATTGAAACTGAGGCTTCCTAGGAGAAACCCTTAAAAGGGATAGTGCAGTTATTCCCTTTTTTGGGGGGCAGAGTGGTTAGGGAAGAAGCAGCAGGGAAACATGGGAGGCTTGCAAATGGAAGACAATACCATCTGGTCCTCCTGTAAGTTACATGAATGGGTTGGTGTGATTGCATAGTGAAGCTACTACCAATACACTGTAGGGGACACTTTTATTTAACCCAACTCTAGCCCACAGACCAATGACAGCTCTGCAGAAATATGAAAATGGCATGGTTTCCTGTGCTGTACATACTCTTCCATTATGTCCTGTTGTTATCCCTGGTCTGAGAGGCTTTGCAGGTATTCAAAGCCTGTAAAAGTAGTCTAACTAGTGGTAAAAGAGCTATGTAGGCATCCTCGCAGTAACTTGCCTGAAACATGCTACCTTCATATCAGAAAAGTTCCATTTCTCCAGCTCAGCTTTGCTATAGCATTCAGTCCGGCTGATTCTGCCATCACTTAGCACCATAAACACATTTTTGTTGTTTAGTCGCAAAGTTGTGCCCGACCCATCATGGCCCCATGGTCAACATTCCTCCAGGATCTCCTATCTTCCACCATTCCCCAGAGTCCACCCAAGTCCACACCTACCACCCCAGTGACCCCATCTAGCCACCTCATCCTCTGCTGTTCCCTTCTTCTTTTGCCATATATCCCAGCATTAGGCCCTTCTGTAGTGAGTCCTTCCTTCTCATTAGGTGGCCAACGTATTTGAGTTTCATCTTCAGTATCTGGCCTTCTAAAGGGCAGTCAGTGTTGATTTCCTTTAAGATTGACTGGTTTGATCTCTTTGCAGTCCAACAAACCATACATACATACATACCTCCCTCCCTACAAGCTCCTTCTCTCTTGCCAACTCTTTTACATGTTCATTCAGGCGCTTGGCCTCTTTCTGGTGGGCAGCCATTGCATCCTCAAACTGCGCCTGGAAGATCCGTAGCTCACCAGCGATACTGACAATTGTGTTCTGTAAGAAGGCACAGGAAAAGACATGCCATGAGCTACCCTTGTTCCATATGTTCTTTAAAGATCCATAGCATGGGCCACAGTTAAGTTTAGCTGCTTTGTCAATAATTGGTTCTCACTACTCTTATCTCATAGAGCTCAATTATAAGGCAGCCTGCAGTATAGATTAGTTGAAATCTGCTGAGCCAGGCAGGTACAGAGTAAAAAGGTAGCATCTTATTTCAAAACCCTGTTGAAAATTCTCTTAAGCTCTGTAGGACAGTTTCTCTGGACAGGAGGAAACAAAAATACATCACCATGTGAAGGAATGGAAAATTGAGCTCATTATACATAACAGAACTGTCCTCATTGGAATTAAGCAAATGGAATTTGGCCAATACAACCAGGCTATCTTATGGGTCTACTGAAAAGACCAAAAGGCATATTGAACAAAGGTGTCTGGGTTGCCAACATTTTTTAAAATCAAAGATGTAGCCAAAATGACCCCTGCAGTAATCATTACAAAAGCAATTAAAAGCAGCTTTAGTTCAGTTGTCATCCTTTTTTTCTCTTTTCTTTTGGCAGCCTTTCTTTGCAGAAGTGAATTCCAGCAGCTGAGACTGTGCCAGCCTATTGAGCATTACACTTACACATGTAGGCTGATGACACACAAAAAGAGACACTTCTAATTTGCCCACTACCAAGAGCAATTAAGCTGCTGAGCATCTCTGGAATAAGCTCCCTGCAGGGGTTTGTCAGGCCCTGTCTTTGTAGATCTTCAGGAAGGCTCTGAAGGACTCACCTGCTTTCACTAGTCTTCCCATAACCTGTGGATTAAATGCTTCATTGGTGCAACCTGTTTTTCTAGCATTTTCTAGTATTCTACTGTATATATGTCTATTTGCATACTTAGTATTTTTGTTAATCTTATATGCTGCCTTGAAAGAGTTTTACCTTCAAAGGTGAGCTGCAAATAATTTTAAATTAAAAATAACAAATTTAAAAGACCAAATTCAGATTCAATCAAGGCTCCCAACATGTTTCAAGTCAATTTTTTCAAGTAAATACATACTTATACAAAATAAACTCTGTCTTGACAACTCTCACAAGAGTACTCTTTGCTTGTATGCTTTTGCCTTTAGCACACCTGAGCTGGGGAAGAGATACAAAAGGCCTGACTTTCTCCCTTTGCAAGGAGGACTTTGAAACTTCCTGATCCTCTTTGGAAGAACCACAAACTTCATGGCATGAGCCATTTTCGGGTGCCCATGTGGCAGGCTGAGCACTCATGCTGTACTTCATTTTGGGTGCTTAGGATGGCCCTTATTTTGTGCAGCCTCTTCAGTAGTCACTGACAACATAGCTGTATAAACCACTGGCCCTTTTGGTTAAGGAAGGCTTTATCAAGTTATTCCTGAGAGCAGCCTCAACTTAGACTGGCAAAATAATAAAGAAGGCATTGCATGCTGCAGCAGTTTTGCTTCATGCCAGAGCAGTTTCAGTGGGGGCATAGGATTATGCAGAGGTGCTGCTTCCTATATTGACAGTATGACAGAAGAAGGTAGTAATTGAAGAGCAGAAGAGAATAAAGAAGAGAAAAGATGCAGTGGGCCAGTTTTCATAGCACACAGCCACCATGGGTTAATCTACCAGGACAGTGATGCGGCCACTTGCTGAGCAGATGCTTTCATTTCTATGGGAGTGGATGAATTGTTGGTCCCATCACAAACACATCCTCCACCCATCACTACTAAGAACTACTGGTTCCTCTCCAGCTGCAAAATCGGAGTTGATCTTGTTCCTTACTCTAAGCCTAAAATACTTGCCAATAACCTTCATTAAGAAGTGTGTAAGATATTGTGAAGTCTTTCCCATAAGTTAAATGTTTATTTGGGTTTTTGTTTGTTTGTAAGTTTATGATTCTGCAAGTTGGGTTACATTTTCCAGGATCATTAACATGCCAAAATGGAAAGTGACCTATTAGATCATACAGGCCACCCTGTCATACATAGTGCCTTGCTGGACAAAAATTGGACAGTAACCATTACTCTGGGTTTTACTAGAAGCATAGTAAGTAGAACCTAAGCATGCTTTGATTCTAAACTGAATATAAGCAACTTTCAAACAGGCCCAACATGAGCATAAAGCCAGATGAATTCATCTTAATTTCCTTTTGAAGAATAACCTAGGTCCCAGTTCTCTTTATCTATAAAATGGTATCAGTTCAAAGAGCAAAATCTAAAAATCAAGAGAAACATTCAAAACATCAATGGGCAGACTACATCTTTGGAGCTGAAAATGAAGTAGAGTGAACTGGGGGTCAGGGAGGGAAAATTAAAACTATACTCTGCCTTTTATAACCCATGGGTTGTGCATTTCTTTCTCCCCAGTGCCAAAGGCTCATCTAAACCAACAGAACAGTGGCATGCAAATTAGTCATCCAGCAAAAACTGTTAATTGGAACATTTGTTTCCATTATGCAAAATGAATCATTTGGTACAGAAAGGAGGAACAATACAGGAAATAGAACCAAAGGGTTTAATGGAAGTTGGGAGCAGGAAGACAGTGACCTTTTGCTTATGGTAAGAAATAACCTAGTTTCACCTCAGACCACTGTAGTGTGGAATTGGTAGGGTGTGTACCAATCGTGCTTTTTTTTGAAGTTCGGTTTAGAAATGGACTCAATTTATAATAGGTTGCATCATGCAGTTGTCTTTGAAGGTAGATTATATTGTAATAAACTTCAAACAGATTGCACACCGTGACACTATAATGGATAACAAGAACTTACTTCAAACAGAGAATATTTGACATATATAAACAGACTTTGTCAAAGAGATAGAATAGAATTTAAAACAGAATTTGATATGGCTGCTGCCAATAATCAGGCAAGACAGGAATGGCATGATGAATGAACTGCATTCAATTGACACGTGTCTTTGATATCCAGTGTTGTTAAGGCCAATCTTCCATTTCAGCTAAAGAAGGTGCTGGTTCAAATCTCTATGGTGGCAAAGGGTGTGCTTGGAACATACACAGAATGCCATTGTGATCAGGGCAACACTACAGCAATCTAAGCAGGGCTGATCTTAAACAATTTGGATCTTGTTTCCAATAAAAATGACAAAATTCTCCCTGCCTCCCTTCAGTCCTATGAATTCACCTCTTATAAACTCTGAAAGGAACCAGTATGTGCAAAGTACACCTCTCAGCTGGTTTACAGCATTATATTCATGCAGGGATATCAGATGTGAGTGTTGGAAGAGATGCTAAACTATCCCTAAGAAGCATCCAGGATGCATGATTCCAAAAGGGTTGCTGCCACAAATATAGCTAGAAATGGAAAACAAGAGGAGTGAAGAACCAGATACAAGAATACAGGAAGTTGCTTTATAACAGGTCAGAATATCTGTTAATCTAGTCCAGTACTGTCTACTCTGACAGACAGCCTCTCCAGTGGAACTCTCAAGGACAGAACCCCTAAAAAGGACATGGGAGATGGGTGTGGGGAGAAAGCAGATATAGTGGCAGAAGCAGGAGAGCTGGCACCAGCGTTTGTTGGCTGACTGCAGTTGTTACTTCATCTAAGGGCCTAGCTTGCGCCTGAGTGTGGAACCTCAGGAGCATGGGGACAAATCTACCTCACCCCCTCAAGTCACAGTCTGGCCTTCTGATGCCCCAACTCCTTTCCTTTGATTGTCAATCTGTCAAAGGACATTTGCTCTGCTTCCCTGTCTTTGGCCCCACCTAACAAAGGAATGAGTCCCCTGCTGAGCTTCTCCAAAACTGAATTTGGCCCTCAGGGTAAAATAAAAAGGCTCTCAACCAGTTTTATGGTCAGCTGATGAACCGATTTTAAACCTATTGTTCATTAACAAGTTAGATTGCCCAGTATAATTTGAACTGTAGCTCTCCGACAACTGTGAAATGTAGGTGTTTTCTACTCCTTTTTCCTACTTATCTTCCCAAATGTTACCAGGCTTCATAAGGCCCTCTCTACTCTCTGCCCCCAATTTTCTACAAAGTATTCTTCATTATTCAAGGATGAACTGTTTCAGTGAGATAAAAAATTGATTTCATCTTGTAAGTTAAGTGCTGACTGTATTTGGCACTTTCAAGATATCTGTGTCCCAGTTCAGACTTGTCCATTACTCACTTGTTCTGTTTATATGAATTGTCACAGTAGACAGTACTGCAATGAACTTGCATTTATGTATTTCCCTATATTTTTAACTTTTTTCTCATAGCGGAAGACTCTTCTCTGACTAGGTATGGGAGTGACTCAAAGATACTGAGTGCCCTCTAGTGCTATCAAAGCAGCAAGACTCCAAAATGTTGGCCGAACCCTGGCCACAGGATACAACTTACACAGACAAAATTGGACCCTTCAGCCAAGCCAACGCTAGCCAGTCAGTTTAATATTAAACTACTGCAACATACATTTGAGTTAAAAATACTTAATAGAGGCCCTTGTTATTTTGAGATACAGATTCCCTTTGAGCCATAAGCTCAGCTGGCACAAATGTGATTAGGCAAATCACATTTTCTCAGTCAAGAGCAGGTGTATCAGTTATCAAATGGGTACAGCTGTCACCTACATCTCAGGATTATTGTGAGACATTGATAAAAAGTCACTGCTCATCCTAATCCACTAGGGAAGGTCATGGAACAAAATGAGCTGTTTCTAGAGTGAAGTGGCTCTTGCAATTGCTAACTGCAAGATGGCAAAGGCAAGTGTGCTTCTAATCATGTGATTAGAATTGTGTGCAGGTAAAGAGGGAGACATGCTGTGTATCACTGTTGTCTTCACAAGCAGAGCAGCTTCTGCACTGCAGATGTGCATCCTCCAGCACAGGGAGGGCAGTGGGGCCAGTGATGGAATCATGATAAAGTGGTAAAGCTGGTGAGAATATCCTTCCTCTCCCCTGCATCCTGTTAGAAGAATGCCTGAATACATTCCTGATCAGGAGTGCACAGTAGTCCCCCACAAGACCTCTACTGTGATTCCCCCAGGGCATCCTG